GTGGGGAAATAGTACTACCAACAAGAAGTACCAGAAAATCAAGACTGATCCTGGTAACAAAGCCAAACTACTTTCAGTAATGAACTCTAGAGGAATAGGCAGCCAGCAGAGGGAGCTCAACAAACCAAATTATCAGCTTCTCCATTTTTCCTGCTATGATCCTCTGGTGATGACATCATTAAACATATTTTTATATACACATGTCTTATTAACAACATAATTCATTTAAGGGAAAGAAAATGGGAAAGTACAGAGAAGAATACTGGGCAGTTCACTTTCCAAGAATTCTTAAATGTGGATATAGGCTTACAAATGGACAAATGTTTGATACAATAAAAATTAAAGCAGTTTCAAGGGATAACTTGTATATGGCATGTCTATCTTCCTTTTTGGGTGGCTGAATGTGGTATCTTAAATTATTGCAAAGTTGGAAAAAGAGAACGTGAGCAAAACTAATTGCCAGATTAAGAGACATATGACATGAATATTAAATGCAGAATTAAGAAGGTTTTCCTGGATCTATTGCAAGACTACTAATTTCAGTTTAAAATCCCAAAATGTTTGGGCCTGCCTGCCTTCATTCAGTCAAAGCTTTTCTATACCATCCTATTACAGAAAGTCTCAGGACTTCATGTTGCATGTTGGTAAAAGCATCAAGATTGTTGTACATATGCAACCATTCCAATGAATAAAGAAATGAAAATATTTGCTTATTTGTGTTTATCTTTGTGCGTTTGAATCCTCTCACTGTAGTATAGGTCAGCATTTCATAGACTCATTTAAAGCTTCTCTGCCAATATCCTTAAAAACAGGCCTCACTAAAAGGAATTAAGTCTGCAGGAGATTAGCAGAAGAGAAGATCCAGGAGAATTACCAACTAAACTCTTCTGTATCATCCCAAACCTCTACATTGGCATTATCTCACCCACAATAAATTGGTCTATCTGTCCATTAAGAACAAGGACATTGAGACAGGATAGTCTAGTACAGGCAAGCTAAATGAAGTAACCCAGGGGCATTTAAGGTTTTTTTCCCCCCAGAGAAGTTGTAATGATGTCCACCAACATGCATGACTTTAAAAGAGGATTAGATTAATTAATAAAGAGTAAAATTTTCAAAGGCTTTGAGGACTGACTTACCTCACTTAGGAAGCATATTTAAGTTTTGAAATGTGTGCAGTATTCACAGATGCCATTGTCAGTCTTATCTCCAACCTTTGTTTGGTCTGTCTTTTGTTATGTTGGATTCCAGAGTCCACTCCAGAATCTTTGCCTGTTAAAATGAGAGAACTTTTACACTGAAAAATAGTGCTAGTTGGGTTAAGGACAAAGTAGGCAGATCTCCAAATATTTATATTTCAAACTATAATTAGTTGATAAAGTATTAGGGTGACTATTTGAAGGGGCTTGATTAGCTGCAAATGCAGATAAAAGAAATGAGTCATGAATCTTCATAATCAGGTAAATTATGTGTTTTGTCTGTGAACAAAGGGATTTGAAAATGGTGTTCAAGTCTTTGAAATCTGGCATGAAAATGTGACTTCCGAATCTTTTAAATTGTGGCTTTCGTGGAGTAGACATGAAACAGCATAATCTGTCAGAGTAACTCCAATGGGATTTTAAAGAGCTTTGTACAGTATAAAGAAACATACTTTTTAAAAAGAGTGCTAAATGAGATATTTGCTTTGATCTGCATGATTACCTAAAATGGTACTGTCTCCCAATTGACATGTACATCAAGAGCTTCAGAAAAAGGTATTGGTGGATTGTGCTATCATGATGTTAAGCTATGACTGTGAGCAGACAATTGTTCTCGTATTACAGTCTTGAAGATGGTATGATAGAAATATCATTGCTCACAAAAACACACTGATTTTTCTGCTCCAGTGTAGTTTTTACCAAACGTATGTGCATTTGTGTCCTGCAACATCTCTGCTACACCTCTGTTCTTTGAAAATCTAGTGTCAGTATGTGACCTGTGCTTATCACAAGACTTCTTCACATTTCAAAGACATAATAAATATTTTCACTTTATCCATTCATACTGTCTGAAGCAGCAAAGTTGGTACCAAGAGCTTGTTAGACGTGGGCCAGCCCATGACATTTATTTGAGTCACAGAGGTAGGGTTGAGGTAAGTATTAGTGCTGGACTTAAGATATCCTCTGGTAACACAGCTAGTTTATGTTGGCTGTTCATTAATTTTCACACCTCGTTCAGGTTGCTGGTTCTCACCTTTATTGGTTTGAGACCACATTATCTAAAGCATTACCTTACACATCTGTGAATCTGTCAAGGCATTAAGATCAGTGTCAAGAGGCCCTGTATTTTGACCCATCAGCAAGTACCCACCGTTAAGCTAGAGGTTACTGATGAGGCTTTTCCAGTGATCAGGGGTTGGACTCAGCACTAGCTTTCTTTTCTAGGTGGAGTTGCTACATTTTCAGTGATAATTTAGATAAACGGAAACTCACTTATTGTCTAATAACCAAGAGCATTGTATAATCTAGTTCCAAGCTGTGTTTTGGTGTTTCTTTGCTTTGGTATGTCTGAATTATTAGTCTCCAGAAAGGTTCACATTGAATAAGAGCATTTAAAAATAGAAGTGTTTATTGCTGATAATGAAGCCCTCCTTTTAAATAATATGCATCTTAAAGGTGCAATCCTGTGCATATTTGGACAGGAAAAAAGTCATACAACTGGTATCCTAGAACTTGTTGGATTTGTTTCTATTGAAATGTACAAAGCATTTTGCCCCAATTTACTCTTTTCTCTGGCACTTTACTGGACTTGCAAATCATGTAGTTATATCAAAAGTGCATCTCACAAGCAGAAAGACATCTCCATTTGGATGAGACCAGCCTCTGGATTCCAGTGATTCCCTGCTCCTAAAGGAGCTTCCTGTACACCATTCCATTTCTTTATTCTGTAGTGAACAGAGGCCAGAAAAGCACCTCCCCCCGGGGTGTGTGTGTGTGTTTCAACTCTTATAGCAGTACATTGTGTACATTTTCATGATGCCTTAAGTCATTTTGAAAATACCCACCCGGGGAGACTCTTGGGTAGGTCAAGTGGGTGGTGTTTGAAACACTAAAGGTAAAGTAAATGTAAAGGTTTCCCCTTGACGTTAAGTCCAGTCATGCCTGACTCTAGAGGGTGGTGCTCATCTCCATTTCCTAGCCAAGGGAGCCAGCGTTTGTCTGCAGACAGTCTCCGTGGTCATGTGGCCGGCATGACTAAACACTGAAATGCACAGAACGCTGTTACCTGCCCACCAAAGTGGTACCTTTTCATCTACTTGCATTTGCATGCTTTCGGACTGCAAGGTTGGCAGGAGCTGGGACGGAGCAATGGGAACTCACCCCATTGTGCAGATTCGAACCGGCGACCTTTTGATCAACCAGTCCAGCAGCATAGCGGTTTAAACCACTGCGCCACCTGCAGTCCCTTTGAAACACTACTGTGTAGTGATTCCTGATGTGATGGGGATGAAGATACTTTCCTCTTCAAAAAGAGTGACAGTTATTACATGGAAGCACAATGGTTACTAGAACCAGTTGGAAGACTTGTCTTCTAACATTTCTTAGGTGTGCAAAGTCAGCGTTGCATCCACTGCACCCAGCTTCCGCCCTATTGGATTGTTGTTGCTTAGCATAGCTCCTGCAGAACTCCCCCCGCTCAAAAAAAGTACAGGATAAAGAAATATATTAAAATGCCGGTAATGCATACCTACCAGGAAATTTAATTCTGTGTTTTTTCTCAGAATTTGGGTTTTCTTGGCTTATGTCTTTGGGTTTTTCTCTCTACTCTTTAGTGTTGTGCATTACACAATCCTTACTAAAGACAATTTATTTATTTAAGATATTTGTATGCCGTCCTTTGCATTTAAGGTGCTGCTAGAAGTGGTACACTGTCTCAACCTTAACATGCACCTCAAACTGCATTTATCCTCTTTGTAAACACCCAAGAAAATAATTTATAGTTTTCCAAAGTCATTTGGTTGATTGTTTAACCACTCTTATATACTGAAAACATTCCTAATGTTTTATCTAATCCTTCCTTCTGGCAATTTATTGCCTACTGTCCAACAGTGTGTAATAACTGAGAGCTATTACAATCCATCATCCTGTTTGCTATCTCTTTTTAAAACCTTATAGAAGTGTAAAGCTGGAACAGACCTGAAGGTAATAATATTGGTTCCCCTTAATAGAACAGCCTATATCCTTTAAGAAATAGAGTGCTGCAAAAAGAGATCAGAAGCTTCTAATGTGAACTGTGCCTGCAGGGTAAAAAGTTGCTAAGCCAAACCTAAAAGAAGTAAACTGTGCCAAATGTTAAACAGAAGATAATGCCTGCCTCTCCTGGCCTCCAATGTTCTTTTGTGGTTCCAGTTTCAGAATTGGCTAGATCTGTGTATAAAAACAACATAGTAAATTACAGTTTCTTGATAAATCTAGTATAGTCATTCTATTTGAACAAAAACACAAGGGAAGTAACTAATGAAATTTATTTATAGAACTCATTAGCATATTTTGATATTTAAGTGAGCTTCAATGGTTTCTGGTGGCTTGCTCACTACAAAAAATAGTTGTCTGGCTTTTGGTATACCTTATTTCTTTCTCACTGTGCTAATTTATCACCACTGATTGAAGTTAGCAATGGGTCACTGTGACTTTTGTCTTTGACTCTGCTTAAAATGTCATGTATGAAAATCTGCATGAACATTCAACTGTAAATATTTTTAAACAGAATTCCTTTCAAAGTACATATTTAAGTGTTTTATTCTAAAATGCACATTTTGGTATGAGCCAAGAACTATGTAGTAGAATTCAAAAAGGAAGTTGAGTATAAGTCTTAGTAGATTTAAAGGGGCATACTTCCTGACTAATTAGTAACCATCATGAAATTATAACCAGAATTAACATTTGTCACATTTTTCAAAATTCCTAAATTTTCCCATTATTTGATGAATGATATGATCGTCCTTGTATTTTCATCCACAGACAAAAGTAGTTGGCTTGCTTGATGCTGATGTATATGGGCCCTCAATACCAAAAATGATGAATTTGAAAGGAAGTCCAGAAGTGACACCAAGTAAGTTATATATCACTTTTCTCTTTCTCATTAAAAGCTACTCAATGGAAAATATGCAGTTTTATAAGTGTAAAGGAAACATGTTGACCCTTAGCCCTATGGACCATAGCAAGTTTGGCAGTTCCCTGCCAGGGCTCTGGAAGCTTCTTTTAAGATTGGTACAGAATAAGATCTCATTCATCCATGATTTAGTATTGGATGAGTTAGCTGATCTGGCATGTACTACCAAGATTTGGGTGGGTGAACAGACAGGAGTTAGTCTCTCCCAGTTGTGCCTTCTGATGGTACAGCATCAGAGTAGACTTGAAAGTTGTGGGAGAGCCATTGCCATGGTCTATAGAAATTCATTATTTCTCTCTAGGCACCTTGTGTATCTGATTGCTGGTCTGGAATGTCTGCAGCCTGTGGTGGGACAGTGGGGCAGACTGGAGAGTCTCCTGTTTTGCTGCCCACTCTGCAACCTTTCAGTCTTTCTGTGTAAGCTGATGGGATCCCCCTGGGCTGTTGTTCTGGGAGATTTCAGCATTCATACTGAGGGCATCTTGTTGGGTGGCTCAGGATTTCATGGACTCCATGACAACCTTGGGATTGTCCTATCATGCTTCTGGTCCAACACATGCAGCAGCATCACTCTAGCCTCCGTCTCACTTGTTTCCTTGTGACCAATTTGCTAGAAAACCAGGGTTCTGAAGTGGATCTACTTTGTGAGGAAGGCATTGAGGAATTGTGTCTGCTGCCCTGGTCATATCTCTATTTCAGAGACTGACCAGAACTTCAGCAGTCACCCGCTGAAGCAATAGGAAAATCCCCAAGAGCTATTAGGATACCATGCAGTTCTATCAGTCCTTCAGGCAGACCATCTTAATCAGCCCTCCATACTAGCAGAGGTTCTGAATGCCAGTGAGACTAAACCCCATCAGGTACTGATCTGTCCAAGGCAACAGAACTACAGAGAGTTCCTCCCCTTTCAAATCACTATCATCCTATCCAGCACAGGAAACAAGCTTCAGAGTGCTCCCTGCAATATGGGTGGGGCCAGATACCATTTGGGACAGATCTATTATTGTCATGGTGGACATGAAGTCTTGAGCTGCTCCTGACCAGGCATTGTTCACATATATGTTGAAATCCCCCAGCAGAATAAGCCAAGGGGTCTCCAACACAAACCCTGTAGCTACATTAGTTAGCTCAGCAAGGAAGGTTGTTGAGCATTGGGTAGATGGTACACCAACGGAATCCCTGTTCAGTCTTGGTCACCCACCTTCAAATATGCACACTTGAATCCAGCAGACTGGGGATAGGGCATGTGACCAGAGGGATACAATCCTAATAGGCCACTGCCACTGCACCTTTCAAACCCCCAAGTCTTTCCTAGTGCTGGACAGGGTACCCTGAAGGCCAGATTTGGGAGAGATTAATCTCCCACCCACCCAGCTTCATCCAACCAGTAATACAGGCCAGGTCAGCATGCTTATGCATGATAGCTCTGGATAGCAGTTGTTTTATCCCTCACTTGCCTGCCATTCATCGGCCTGTAACAGTACTGGTTAATCTTTTTGTAAAATCTTCACTAATGGAAAAGTCAAAGCCTGGCAAAGATCTGTTTACAAGTCCTTGTGAATTGCATGACATGTGAACAAGCATAGGAATATAAGAATTTGCCTTATACTGAGGCACACTCTTGGCCAATCTAATCCACTGTTGTCAACACTGATTGGCAGCTACTCTCCATGGAGTTCAGGAAGGAATTTTCCCTGCCCTACCAGGAGATGCTGGGAATTGAATTTGGGACCCTCTGTTGCCCATTCTTAGGGTCATCATAAGTTGGAGAGAGCAATAACAGCTGTCAAAGTCAGTCTTCTTATGAGATGGGGTGAATCCTCTGCTTGGTAAGAAATTGGAGTTCACATATACTTTTTGTAGGTTATCACATTGCATGTATACCACCCCACCACCTTTCCTCCCCTTTGCAAGGAAATGAAGATGGCTTACAAAGTTCTCTTCTTCTCCATTATCTCCTCACAACAACAACCCTAGGGGGTAGGCTAGGAAAATCTGTGACTGGCCCAAGGTCGCCCAGTGAGTTTCATGTATGGGTGGGGACTGGAACGCAGATCTCACAAGTTCCAATCTAACACTCTAACCATCATGCCACACTGCCTCTCTTTATTATAAATTGCATAGGTTGAAAATGGATATTGTAGCCAAGCTGCTTCTCTATTAAAATGGAGTGTATGTATCTGCCTCATAACTAAAATCTATACAAAGGCACAAATGTGGCTCTTCACAGGCATAGCAACCTGGTTTTAGGGTTCTCTTCCTCCTGATTGAGCTCTCCTTGTTCATATTTTCATAAATTTATTATTAAGTTCTTCACTCTGCTGTAATCTCCAAACTCATTCAGCTACCATAGAATCCTGCTTCCTCTAGATATTGATATGGGATGGCCAGCACTGCATGCCTGCACTTACAGTTAACAGAAGAGGGTTTCATCTGAGTGTTCATACAATGCTGAAATATTCCTTGTGTGATGCATGCAGTAATGTGGCAACACGAACAACACCAATGATTGGTTGACAGACCAGGATTGTGCACTGGGAGGAGTGGAGAGTACACCTTTTTGTGTGCTTAGCATGTGAGTGCCCCTTCTAACATATGGATCCCTTGACTGGTGTCTGCTTCAATTCCACATCCTGACTGATCCAGCCTAAATTTGTGGAATGGGACAAAATGCCACTCAGGTGATTGGGACATAAATCCATAGAATTGCCCTGTTTCACATGATGTCTAAATGGTCAGTGGGAAAGAATGCTGTCATGTTACCTGCTAACCCTGAAGTCAAGATGCTCAAGTCAAGTTTTGAGACAGGTTCTGAGCTTACCAGAATTTCCAGCCAAGTTACAGCCAGACATACAATTTTGGGGTCTCCTGAGGTTGGTTCCATAGATAGGCATTTGGGCTGGGGGTGCTGTCCAGTAGAACTTGTAAAAGTCCTTCTTCACTTCTAGATGATACAATCTAACAACATAGCAGGATCCTCCAGTAGATTTTTGAAGGGAGAGTGTCAAGCTATACTTTGCTAATTACCTTGAACTGTCATTCAGGCAATATAGTGGTGTTTGATTTCATGCCAAGACCAGATGTTGCAAAGTAGGCTAAACTGGGCTACCTACGCCTCAGAGAAAAGAGCAATGAGACAGGCTGGGCTAGGACAAGCCAGGTGGATGAGAGACCCGAAGAAAAAACAATTGACATTCTCCAGCTTTTTTGAACTACGGCTAGCATAATTCCTAAGCATTAGCTATCCTGTTTGGGGCTGATAATGGACATAGTTTTAAAAAATGTGAAAGACTTACCCTTGAACTGGCCAATTTTCAGGTTGGAGCACTGGGAAGCCCTCAGTTGGCTCCTGGCTCTCTCTCTCCTTATGGATTGTGTCAGGGCAGGGGAAGGCTCCACAGTGGAGTTGAGCCAGAGCCTGACAAATGATTTTTTTTCTTCCTTGGAATATTTTCTAAGGCAATGCTCCCAAGGCACTTCAGGTTTTCTGTCATTCAGTAAGCAGTATGAAGAAACTCCTCAGCAAGCCAGATCTAAAAGTGTAGTTTCACCAGAACCTCACCCCACCTAGGGGAGTTAAGATGCCCTTATTTTGGCTATTTGATAAGATGATAAAACAAGAGTGAAAAAATGGACTAGGGCAAGATCCTTTTCAGTGTAGTCAAGGATATGTGTTCCAGCACTTGCTGGAAGTAATAAGAGGCCCCAGAGACTACCACTGGTTGATTCCCAGTAGCAGCACTGTCCTAGTTTTGACATCTTAGAGATTTTATTCTCAAGTATGTTTAAAAATAAATTCAGTGTTTAGTCTTTGCAGTTGCAAGAAAAGAATTGGCTGGATTAAAACCTGAGTGTAAATTTACATAAGGGTAACTTGTTGAATTTGTAGGCAGAAAATAGCAAGACCCTCAATGGAGCTGTCCCAGGCTTATACCAGTACTTGCTTTCTTTATACGAAAAGGGTGCACTGTCCCATTAAAACATCCATTCAAAAGCACAATGATTATAATTCAGATATTGTTGCTAACTCTCCTTCTATGTTAGTGTTAAAAATACATAATCAGCAATGTGCATTATTTATTGCTTTGTTTGCAAGCTTGTGATGAATAGAGATAATATTGTGACTTTACATCCTTAAATTGTGGTGACTGGTGGCAAAATGTTTCTGTTAGGCAGAATATGGATGATCTTTCAAAAAAATCTATGTCATCCCATGGATTTGTTTGTGGCTGCCCTTTTGTGTGTGTGTGTGTGTGTGTGTGTGTGTGTGTGTGTGTGGCGGGGGGGAGTTACTTATGACATCATGTTATAAGCCTTTGAGGAATTCGAAGTCTTCTTGGCTGTAAGGTGTTAGACTTTCAATAAATACAGAACTATCTACATCTTGGGATGTGGTCAGTCTTTGGTGTTTGCACTGGTGTATGATTTCCATTTTTTGGAAGGTTTGTTCCAAAAGGGTTAGGTTTGGTTTGAAGGTGTCACTGGACACTTGGTTGTGTTCATTGCAACAGGTTAATATGATTATCCTTCTGGAAACTACAATAAGGTATCTCTTATTTAGAGTTTATATACGCATAAATGTTAGCATAAGTGTTAAATGGTAAAGAAATTCAGGGTTCCCTCTAATATGGTTGCCTGTAACTCTCTGAATTCACAGGATTATAGATATTCAGTTGACCATGGGAGGAGCGTGGAGGCAAAGGTCACCTCCACACTTGCCCAGTCCTGGAAAAAACATGGATGTCTGTTTTTGGACATCTGTTTCTTTTTTGCTCCTGCTTGTAGGAAGAAGGAGCTGAAGCACCTTGTGGATTCCTTGTATCCTTGTAGTGCTTCACTGAACTTCCCATCCTTGGAAGGCCCCCAGTGCCAGTTCTCAAGTGTCACTACTACAGAGCCACAGCCGGCATGAAAAAGAACCATGATGGCTCTGAGAATGGAAGGAGGGCACTCCAGGGTTTCCTCCTTTGCAATAGCAAGAGCAAATAACTTTGTGCTAGTGTTGGTTACACTTCTGCAACATCATTAGCACTAGAATCATGCAAGCATTTAATACTCTATTTAATACTCTGTCATTCCAGAGACTTGGGGTGCTTCCAAGTGAGACTTTTTATTGCACAGTTATCTTGCTTCAATCGCAAAATTTTATAGGGAGAGCAGACCAAACTCCCAGTTTTATTCTAGGAACCTGTCTTGAGAAGTTTTTCTATTGACAGCATATAAATAGTATAAATGATACATTCTTCTATTTGTAACCCTCCTGATCTTCCCACCACTTCTTCCCTTTTTTTCCTTGCTGCAGAAAACCCATTAAGAAGTAAAATGGAAAGCCACACAGTATATTTTGACTGGTAGCACTAAGAGCCATTTGTCTAGAAGCATCCTTGTTGTCTGCTTCAGAATATTGGCAATGTTCTTTGGGAGTAGGGGAAACAGCAGGCAGTATACCTGCTGGTACTATCATAATGGGCAACTGTACACTAATAAAAAATATTCATATGTACTAGCAAGAACTTCATTCTTTTAGCAAGTTGCATTTTCTTTCCCCCACTCCTTCCTCACTTTATTTATTTATATATATATATATATATATATATATATATATAACTGATTGTAGCAGTTTAATCTCCTCCTGCCTACAATATGTTGCCTTCATTTATTTCCCATTCAGGCTCTGCAGCTGTCATTAGCAAGAGTAAAGTGCATTTGCTACAGTACTTTCCCTAGTGTGGCAAGTGATACTGTTTGTCGTGATAGTCTTTTGTGCCTTTCCTGATGAGACATCAAGTGAAGAGGTGGATGATGATAATTTAAGTGGTGAACAAGCATAACATTCTAGTTCTGTCCCCCCCGCCCTCCGAAAACCCCTGGTGTTCACGGTGCAATGGATTCCCAAATTTCTGTGTAAGCTCAGAACAACTATTTATTTACATCAGACTTATTTTTAAGTGAATGTGGAGGAGTCATTGCTCAGTAACTATGCACTGAAATATAATTTTGGAGTAGAGGAATTAATAGTTGTAATCATGAACTATTGAGAACAGCAACAGCTACTTATAATGCACCTTTAAAACCTACAGCTGTTACAGCATTTTATGCCTTGCTTATTTTTAAGCATTAGGTCTTCAGTCCAAGAAAAGACCTACAGTCATGGAAAAGAACAGGTTGTGCATTCAAAGCTGCTGTTGTGATGCAGTGCCAGATGCTGAAAAGACAAGCCACTTGTTAAACTAATCAGTGCTTGTCTCTTGGCAGTGGAAACGGACGGACGGAAGGTGGTGTCCGTATATCAGTTTGCATGATCGAGCAGACAACTGTCACTGAATATATGGGGTGGGGGGTGGCATGTGCAGCCAGTCATTTTGAATATTGAAGCTGTGACTGCAGTTTGTCATGTTGTCCAAACCTGGTGAATGTGGCTTGATGGTATTGTGGTATTCACCCACAATGCTGAAACAGCCCGTGGGTTCAGAGTGGTTGTTAACCTCACTAAGCATCCATCCCGGATAGTTTTGGAGGACTCAAACTCATGCAGATACAGAGATACAGATGCTCCGTAAATGTCCTTTTCTGTAGAGCATTTCGTGATGCTGATTTCAAGGAAGGCTGCAAGCCACTGGAGACAAGGCAGCACAACTGCACATCCATGAAACTCCACTAAAAACAGCAGGACTTAATTAAGCATATGCAAGGGCAAACTGCTTTCCTTAGAACTGTGATCATATAGAAATTTTCATGATTAATTTCATGTGTTCTACCTGCTGTGTTACTCAAAGGGACTAAAGGGAAGGTTTTCTATGTGGTAGTTTCATTTCTGTTGCTCCTGATAAGCATGGCAACCTAGCTATGCCCTTATCTGGAAAAGGATAGCCAGATTTTAGTAGTCTATGCCCTGGTAATGTCTAAATTCGATTACTGCGATGTATGTTATATGTGCTGTCCTTAAGATTATTGAGACACTGCAGCTCATGTAAAAAGTTGCAGGCAGATTAATAACCAGGACCAGAAGGTTTGAACCATGGGATCAGAAGGTCTGAACATATGGGACCAATTTTGGCCTGCTTGCATTGGCTGCCTATACACTTCCAAGCTGTATTCAAGGTACTGGTTGTTACCTATAAATCCTTACACAGCTTGAATCTGCAATACCTGATAGAACAGCTCTGAAGCTCAGTCTACCCAGACACTTTAGCATTTATCAGAAGCTTTCCTTTGACTACCACCTCCAAGGGAGGCTTGGAAAGAGGCAACAAGGGGGAGGGCCTTTTCAGTGGTGGCTGCACAAATACGGGAAGAACACCTCAAGGAGGCCTGCCAGGCACCAAGATTGCCAACTTTTCAGCATTGGATTAATACTGCTGTCTATTCCCAGGCATTTAATGGCATATGAGGAGATATATCAGCTTTTAAAACTGGTTTACTTTTGATTGAATTTGTTTTACATGTTTAAACTCTTTTTAATTTTGTATACTGGAATTGTACACATTATTGTGTTATATTTGTATTTTTATTGTATCCATTTTTATTATTGTACTTATGATAAATTGTTGTGAACCACCTAGAGAGCTTCAGCTATTGGGTGATGTGGTAATAATGCTATTATTACCACTACCATAAGTTAAGGTTTGGAACAGCATTTTCTTGAGGATCTCCTTAAGGAAATTTAATATGCATTTAGTTTGTCTGACTAGTAGGTGTTAAGTTTATTCAACCAGAATATGTACAAAACAGGGCTGTAGGATGCTAGCTCAGCACAACTGGTGTAGTTTATTTCCCATTACTGAAAGTATTTGGGTAGAAAGATTTAAGGACTTGGGTGTAGGAATGTATATGTAAAAGTTGACCATAGTTAAGCATCGCATCTGAATTCTTAACCCGGGGGTGAGGAATGTGTGGTCCTCCAGAGGCTGTTGGACTGTAACTCAGACCTAGTTAACATAGTTATTGGTGAGGGATAGTAGGATGATGCAGTCCAAAACCATCTGGAGGGCCATATGTTACCAAACCCTAACCCAAACCATTGATATAAAGATTGGCAGGAACCATGATTTGATGTGAACTTAAATTGGGTTGTTACAGCTATACCAAATGGAGGTGTATGAATGGTTTATACATACCAGATACTGCACTTAGTAGTTATGGACCTGATCAGAAATTTGGAAAGAGCACTAGAAGCTTCATGTAAGAATGAGAGATAATAAATATTTTAACATACACACAAAAAATAAACCATAAAACAGTTTTCCTGTCTTTCCAAGGTAACTGGCAGATGCTGCTGATACCGCTTTATATATGCCCTCTTAGACCAGGCTGTAAATTCTTGGCCCAAGAGGGTGTATCGCTGGCATTACTGTATATTTGCAATCTTAACCAGGGTTAGGACTGCAAACTGTGGAAAATGCTAATCTTAATTAGATGCTTCATTTTTGTTGAGGCTCTTGCTAATGCCTACTAGGTTCTAATTTTTTCCAGGCAGCTGAACTTGAAATAATTGTTCTCAAAATCAATTTTTTTATTTTAACATTCTTCCACATTTTCCATTCCAGAGAACTTAATGCGACCACTTGTGAATTATGGGATTACTTGGTAAGTAATTTATAGTTTTAAATCTACCTATTTTATATATTGATTTTGTATATTTTGGTCCATGTATTTCATTTAAACATTGGAAAACATTTGTGTTTTCTAGTATGTCAATGGGTTTCTTAGTAGAAGAGACGGCACCAATTGTCTGGCGAGGCCTCATGGTAATGTCAGCCATAGAGAAATTATTGAGACAGGTAAGAGTTGTTTAAGTATGTTGCATTTACAGCAGTTGACAGTTTAGTTTCATTGGTACCCAGCAAGAAAGCGAAAAGATTTTGCTTTCACCATTGCTTATAAAAATGCTAGTTGCAAGTAAACATACTTAAGAAGAAGATTGAAGTACTGAAAATAATTAGTTTTATTTGGGTGGTATTCTGCCTGTAGAGAAAATGCTGTCAGAAAAGATTTCTTGTTATAGTTCTTTTTTCTGTCTAAACATGCATAGGATTGCACCTTTAATAGCTTACTGGGCTGCAGACCAAAAGCCTAATCTAGTCAGTTATCTAGAGACCATTGTGGATAAGCAGCAAGAAAACTTGATTTGTGAACAAGATGTGCATGAACTGTACTGCACCTTCAAGCTGGGTGTGATGGTAGACATGACATGGGTCTCCTGCTTTCAGCAGCAGCTTCTTATCTTGCTCTCTCTTCTCACTGGTAACGCCTTGTGACAGATTGCATGACATGACATCATGTAGTGCAGGCTTCCTCAGCTCCACACGAGCAAGCCCCTGAAGGAAGCACAGGGAGTGCAGGAAAACTTAGCATGTGGTTACATTTCATTTCATTTCATTACATTTCTACGCTGCCCAATACCTGAAGCTCTCTGGGGGAGTTAGAAAAACAAAAATCTTAAAATATAGCATAAGAGACTGCATACCTGCAAACACACAGACAGAGGCAATAATCCTAAAGCAATTTGAAGCAATTACTAACAAGAACAATCCAGGACATCATATAACCCTCAAATGCTTGAAAGAAAGAAAGGGAAGGCACTGAAAATATGATAATGCTGGGGTCAAATGAGCTTCTTCAGGGAAATAATTGCATAAATATGAGACTATCACCAAGAAAGCCTCTTAGTTGTCACTGCCTTCTGAAGCTGCCTCTAAGGAGGCTCCTAGATGAGCCCTAAATGCTAATGTAGTTCATGGGTATCCCGCTTTCATGCCAGGAAATGGAGTCCATCAGTATCATGATCCCAAGCTGTGTAAGGCTTTTGGGTCAAAACCAGAAACCTATGAAAATACTATACACTTAGCATCACTAAATACTGTGAAGGAGAGAGAAGAGGTATCTATTTTCTGTCTGCTGTAATGGTTTGTTCCACTTTTATTTTCTTCCAAACATTAAATGTGTTCTTCAGTCTTTTCTGCTGTTGATGTAGTATCAATTTGTTTGATAATATAATTGTGAACATAGTGTTTAGGAGCACCCACTTACTGTGGGCTGATTGTAGGTTATGCAGGTAAAATACTTAAAAAAACCCAACAGATTGCATCTTGATGATTTTGTAATGTTTTTTATGTGAGACTGCCTTTGAAAAGTATTCAGAATGTTATGGCCAGACTGTTGACCTGGACCTGTTACATTGTAATTAAAATATTGGTTTTAATAAAGATATCATTGCTATCTTGACTACACCTTACCCTCTATTCTTTAGCAGAAAGGTGGGATATATATTTGAACAAAAGTAATGTACTAATGACCATTAATTGCTTCAATTCTTTACTGCCTAGTCCTTATGAGGTTGCAATGCATCCAGAATATTGAGAGCTAGGTTCCCCCTTTGCACATTCAAGGCGAAAGACTGTTCCTTTGCAAAAGCTCTTTATTCTGCAGAGTATGTTCAGTAAGCATAATAGCCACAAAGGAATCTCGGAGCACACACAGAATAGTTTATTGAACCCAATTTAGCAACTCCTTCTGAGAACCCTCCTTTCAAATACCTGGGCCTCTGGGACACCCCTTCTGTGGGCAGGCAAGCCTCTTCTCTGTACACCACCCCTTTATTATTTATTTATTTAGAAAATTTCTATGCTGCTCCATTTGCCAAAGCCTCGGGGCGGCTCACAAATATATCAATTAAAATATTATACAGTAAAAATATAAAACAAGTTAACAATATGAAATAAGTCACCCTGGCCAAAGAATAAAATAAATAAATTGTATTAACAGTTAAAATGACATTTGAATAAAAAGGTCTTTGCCTGGCGCCGAAAAACAAATAACAACGGCGCCAGGCGGACCTCTCTGGGGAGCGCATTCCATAGATTGGGCACCACCGCAAAGAAAGCCCTCCTCCGAGCACTTACCCTCCTAATTTCCTTCATGGAGGGTTCCCGGAGAAGGGCCTCTCCCGCAGATCTCAGGGGAGATCTTTAGTTGGCTCACCTTTTTCTCCTGATGTCACAACATAGGATCGAGAGTCGTACCAGGCTCAAACGATTCCAGGAGGCCCTGCCCTACTCTCATGACAGTTTAGATCCTGACTGTTCTCAGAGTCCATTTGAACACCTGGAGAGGCCGGCCTTGAGAGAAGCCCTTCTGCTTATCTCATCTGAAAGTCTGGGGGTGCTGGTTCCCAGCCCGCCCCCATCTGAGAAATCTGGATCTGCCTGGCCTTGGAATGCATGCCAAGAACAACTGCCCTTCTCATTCCCAGCACAAAACATAAAATGTCATGGAGCTTTATAAAAACCCCCAAACCAGCCCTAAGCGCTAGGAGACCAATGATTATTTGTGGTGGGGGTTGCAGAAACGGCAATATTGCTTTAGTCAATGGAATTCCCAAATGGGAAGCAGATGGCATTTCTTGTGCATGTTGATAATGCCTTACACTGAGTCAGTTGTTACCTAGCAACTGAAGATGCAGTTGTACTCCAACAGATCCTGAAGCAAAAAAGAAATCTGGTCCCTTGACACTAGAGCCATTAATGATTTTCCCTGACAATAGAATGTCACTTGTGACTGCAGAAAGCTTTAACAAGGGCTTTCCCATCTAATCAAGCATTTTCCTTTTGTGTATAAATTAGGTATCCCTTAATTCTGCATCAGGACATACTGCGTTTCCTTTCTATGACAACAAAAAGCTTGCAGGTCACTGCAAAGACAAGTACAAACTGTTGTAGCAGTAGCTTTTATAACTGAAGAACCTTATGCATTTATTTGTAGTGTGTTTAATGAGTTATAAATCTTAGTACCGCTTGTAGCAATAGCTTGTTGCCAGTTGTTGACAAACTATAAGGTTATTAATTTCATTACCAGAGTGTCTAAATTTTAGAAATTAGCATTCCCTGAGTAAAGGATTATATTGCTCCAGTGCTAGAATCCAGTATAATGTCAATATGTGGTCAAACAGCAGTTAGTTATTTTCAAGTTTAGAAGTTTTAGAACTGGAAAAAGGATTATTTCGGAGGAGGGGGGTATTCAATCTCTTAGTTATAAACTTTGATTTATAACAGATGTGGAAGAAATAGTTAATTTTCTTCCTATTCCTTTTCTGGCAACATATAATATAAATTGCCCTCTTAATCTTGGTTTATGATATAATAATATATTGAATTTAAGGGGCTCCCAGACAGTGAGGAAAGGATAAAAAATATTAAATGAAGATCTCAAGAAAATTAAATCAGTCAGATCTAATATTTCTAGTGCATTTTACTGTATCTTGCAGACGAAAATCATAGACTTCTACATAAAATCAGGCAATATTATGAAATCATCTTTTATCATCGATTTTAAAATAAAAGGTTTCCTTCTTTGTAATCTGTAGCATAGAAACCATAAGTATTTTGAGTAGCTGTTTTTTCCTCCTACAAGTTTAGCAGAATTGAGTATTGGAAATATTCCCAAGGCACACATGTGCTAATAAAATGATTGTCTGATAAAATGTTTAAAAAGCCTGTTTTTATTATCTCGAGATTATTGGGGAAACATAACTAGAGGTTTTATTAATACAGCCTTCCACAGTCTGATTCCCTTCAGATGTGTTAGGGCTCCCAGAATCCTCCAGACAGCTTTGCTAGTGACCAGGTTAGTTAGAAGTTATAATCGAAGACATCTGGTGGGCACCACTTCAGCGAAGGTTGAAATTAGATGATTAGGGATTTCCATTTCTATAGTACAGCCCACTGAAAGCAAGATCCTTTTCAATAAGATCCAGTGCAAATAAGCTGTTGCAGATTTCCTAATGATAGTCAAGAAGGGCAACAAAAATGATCCAAGGTTTGGAAACACTACCCTGTGAGGAAAGACTGAGAGAACTGGGCATGTTCAGCCTTGAGAAGAGAGGACAGAGGGGGGACGGGATATCCCTCTATAAGTACCGCAAAGGCTGTCATGAAGAGGAAGGTCAAGAGCTCTTCTTGCTGAAGCCAGAGTGTAGGACACAGAAAAATCAATTCAAGTTGTGTCAACCCAGGTTCAGGCTGGACATCAGGAAAAGCTTCCTTACTGTCAAAGCAATACAAACAGTGGAACCATCTGCTAGAGAGGTGGTGGGCTCTCCCACACTAGAGGCATTCAAAAAGAAACTGGACAGCCATCTGAGTGGGATGGTATAACTTGGTGTCCTGCAACAGCAGGGGGTTGGACTTGATGGCCTTCATGGCCCCTTCCAGCTCCACTATTCTATGATTCTATAAGTTGCAGACAGATGTGTGATTGCATGCTCAATCTTATCTCTAGGTCAAATGTCCACCTCTTATTCTAACTATAGCTAACATTTGTACTCTCGGATAACATCTGTACTCTCGGATAACTAGCTAACCAGACTTTTGTCTACTGGAGGCTGCTTTAAATCACTGCTTAAGCCTGTAGTTCTTGACATTGCATCTGGTTTTGCAACATATTTCTGCATAAGTTGCCTCACTATATTAGCATTGTCATGCTGAAATACCATAAGTATGAGTAAGAGAGTAAGCAGTCATTCCTTTGCCACAAATACAATATACATGTCTATGTTATGGTAAGTGACAGAAATGTTCAGTAAATGTTAATGCTTGCCAGTAAGCCCTTAGATTTTTAAGAGATCAGTAGGACAGGTCAGCAAGCTGTGACAATGTAAGCCTTGTGATTTTCCAATAGAGCGCCTTCAGTAAATGTATGTCCTCTGCAACTCCATTCTACAGTATTAAGGATGGCATTTACAATAATATTTAATCACTGTAATATTTAAATGACAAACAGATGCTTATTCTGTTGTGGAATGCGAGAGAGAGAGAGAGAAGGTACCTATGTGTATTGGGTTGATACTTCGAAACAGAATACATTATTTGTTTGAATAATAGCACATCATGTTTGAATGTACATTGCATTAATACACTGATACAATAGGCGTGTTTGAGATGGGAAGCAGCTTTCATCTTCTCCTCTGTATATGGCTATAGACTGTACCATGGTCACATTGACTTTATTACGTGAATGTCTGTCATGAAGATTGTTGATGGGATCTTAGCTAGTCAAAAACAAAAATTTAGTGCCAGAATATGAATGCTGCTTTTGATCACACAGTTATTCGATAATAAGCAAACTGGATCAAATTGCAGTTCAGTGATAAATTTTGGTTTTGATGTTTTGCAATATTAATTTGTTACTAGTCTTTCAGGAAAAAATTCAAATATCTCCCCTGTTTCATAAGTGAGAACTATTGCAATTAAGCAAGAAAGTGCAGACATTATGTGCCAAAGAATGTTTAAAGAATTGATGTAGCTTCTATTATACTTCATATTCCCAAGAGCAATTTCTCATATTTGGTGTGGACAGTGGTTTTTTTGTAAAAAAAACAAAAACGGTGCCGGAACTCACGTCTTGGGGTCACACTTTTACACTAAAAAATTTTCAATTCACCAACTTTTTTTGAAATAAAGAACTTATTTACCTTTTGCATGTAGCCAGTCACTCTACACACACATAAACATAATGGTCGCCACCGGCAGTAAGCACTCAGCGCACGACCACACGACCAATCCCAAGCTAAGCAGCGTCCCAAGCTGAGCAGCGCCCTCACAAGCAGCCCGCAGGCACTATGTTAATGATTTTTGCCACAGATCTGCTATGCCTAACAGGGCGATTCACAATCACTTGGAAAAATCCATCAGAAAAAGGTGCTGGAACGCTGTTCCAGTGCATTCTATGACAAAAAAAGCTCTGGGTGTGGATACTTTCTGTAACTTTTTTTGATGTTGTGTTGCTCTTGCATTTATATTTCCATATCAAATATAATTTTGACAGAACTTGCTGTTGCTCTAAAGAAAAGATTTTGGAGAAGATTTGCAACTAGATTGGAAGTAATAGCCAAACCTTGGTGTGTTTCCTCCCTTGAACTTCCTTGTCTGCTGTTATTTTCAAATTGTCAGGCAATGTCTTGAACTACTAGTTAGAAAGTAAAGAGGTTTCCATTTTAGGGTTGGAGGCTAAATTTGGATATACTGTCAAACCATTTGCTAGAACAAGGAAAGAACTGGAGCACACCAGAGGAAAATGGAGCATGTAAATTTGGGGATGGCCAAGATACTATTTAAGAGCAAACATATAGAAATACTTGTTGATCCTTACTAGCATGCACCTTTAAGTTGGCTCATATATACATAGGGTTAGATCCAGTAGCTCCTGTTAGGAGAACTGGGAGCGGGTGATTCTCCCCACGGTCCTTCACAAGGCATCTTCATCTTGGGACATGAAAATAGGAAGAGTGGGAAAGCTTAAATCTGTCATGGTCCCAAATTGACTTACCCAGCTGTAGGTCAATGCGTACTGGCATAGCTGTGCTAAGAAAGAGGAATAGAGTTTGACAAGCAGCCAGGGATGTTTTTTTAAGTGTTAAAGAATGACAATAAAATCCTCAACTACTTTGCCCTAAAAAGTAAGGTAATTCCACCCCCCCACACATACCAAAATATGGCATATGTATGTAACTCTGGTGCTTTGCAAAGCAAAGAAGTATATATACCTCAGTTAGTATGATTGAGTGGTGCTACAAAGGTCCCTGGGATACAGGCTGAGAACAATGAGGACAACGCGAAGACAAACCATGGCAAATTGTCCTTTATTGTCAGCATAGGTGTGGCTCAACAAGCAATTAGTTAACCCACCATGGCTTGCTTGCAGCATATTTTCTCATGATGTGCTAGCTGGTCCATTGGCATGCTTAAGATATGAGTTCCCTATTTGAATATAATAGATTGGCTTTATAAGAATAATCCAGAGCAAATGTTGGACTAGCATGCTCTTCTTGTTGTAAACCTCCCAGAAAGCTTTGGCTATTGGGAGGTATAGAAATGAAAATAATAAGAACAATACTTTAAAAAAATAATGCAAGGAATTATTGGACCCTTTTGCTTTTGTTTTAACTAGACTTACTTGTCACTTCCATACCAGGATTCACAGTGATTAATCATAACTATGGTTTAGAGAGGAAAGCTACACTTTGAAGTGGTCTTATTTCCTCAAAACATAGTTAAATGTAACTACAGTTTTGGGAGGTTTGGAAATAATTAATAGATTTATTAGTTGAAAACAGATTGTGCTTTCTGGCCTTTTTGCAGCTACATGGGAGGACAGGGAAGTGAGGAACATGTAAGTTCTGAGAATCCAAGGCATAACTAAACCATAAATTACTAATACGTGCAAACTGTAGCACTTATTTCTTCTTGCTAAACAGAGTTCAGCTCTGGTTGCTTCTCAGTAGGTAGAGTTTAAAGAAAGCACAGTTCTCCTAGTTCAGATATAACAGGGAACTGTGATTTCATTTGGAGGCAGAAGCTTCCAGTAACCTCAAGGATATAAAAGAAGAATGGCAGCATACGAGTCTTAGGCTTGCCATGGCCAATTCATATACTGGAAACCATGGTTACCCATTATGTCTGAATCAGGTCATTATATCTTAATGGGAACTTGCTTTATTTGAAGCATATCAATCTCTTAAGATTTACATCCTCCTGCAGATAAAGTTAATTTCTGTTCAGCATTGTCTCTTTGAAAATAATTGGACAATGGATCACAGGGATTAGGGAACTCCTAGAACAAGGAGTTACTTTCTAAAAATCATACCAATTAAGGATAGTGTATTCTACTTTGAGCTCCAGGTAGTTAATATGCATGTCTTACTTGCTTTTATCGAGAACAGATATAAATTAAACCACTCTGTTTTTTAAATCAATATTACATTTCCATGATACTTTGTTGATATACACTCTACCTTAGTTACATTTAATTTGTTAGCCTCAGTCTCTGTGCTAGTCTGACCTAGTTGGTGGGTGTCGGACTCATTCCATTATCATGGAGGAGAATGCCTGTTGGCACAGAGGTCTTGAAGTAGGAGAGTTACCATAATCCCACATTATGCATTAGTCCTTTATGCCAGTGGTAAGGAGCTTTGAAAATGACACGTCTGTCTTGCCTGCACACATTCTCCTACCCATTGCCCAATGATCTCCACTCCTGCCTATGGTCTGCACAGGGTTTTAAATGTAACATAAACAGTGACCCTTGGTATGTGGTATTGATGCTGTACATCCTGCTGGCAACAGAACGTAATTAGAAATTCCCTACTGAATTTACTGTGGTATTCACCATCAGTCTCTGTGTTTAATATATACCCTTTTCTGATTTTTCGGTGACCTTTTCTAGGTTGACTGGCAGCAACTGGATTATCTGGTAATTGACATGCCACCTGGGACAGGAGATGTGCAGCTATCAATTTCACAGAATATCCCAATTGCAGGTATCTTTTAGAATTACAGTTTGATCTGCACATGTATATTTGTTATGAGCTCTGTTGTGTTTGATGGGGCTTGCTTTTGGATTTGCAGCCCTAAACATGATCAAAGATGAACTGTGAAAATAGATTTTTTTGAATAACCTTTTTCCCACATTAACTGGCATTTAGATCCAGAAGGGATCACCATTCCATACAAATATTCCATGCACTCTTCTCCCTTCTATGTTTCCCATTCCCTCTGAATAATACTTTGACTTTCTTAAGTTAAAAACACAGCTTGAGAATTAGGACCAGGATATGTTCCTACACTAACTATAGCATACTATTTTCCTTTTCTGCTTTACTTTATATCATTTTGGGTCTTGTGATGCCTTTGTATTTAATGCTTAGTTTAATTTATTCAATTGTATTTCTGAGATGGTATAACAAGAATATATAATAGTGTTTCAAGATAATTGGGCATAGTGTGCTTGAAGTTTTCCACACCTCAAGGAAGGCTAGTGATTCCTGTGTCAGTGTGGTTCCTCATCCATTGCATTATTTTGGCCTTATGGGGACATGGTACCCCATGGTGGCAATTGCATTTTGCATGGTTGAGTTCAGCACCTTACCCAGATACTATGCTGTAAGAGGTTACCTAGTTAAATAGTCAGAGGTTACTGTCTAATGAATAATAAAGAAATATAACCAATAAACATACAGGCTGAATCAGACATCATGCTAATCCATGGTCAAAGGCCCTTTACAGTAGATTGACTTGATGTCCAGAGTGATAAACTATAGTTTCACTTGGTTGGCAAACTGCTATTGGAATCTATGGCTTGAAATAGTTTTGCAAGCTATAATCTGTGCTATACTTAAAGCCTCTAGCACTGGAGACCATAACACCAAGAGATAAAAGTGTTGTGTAGAGGAAGAGCACATACGCAGTTATAAACCATAGTTTACCTGTCTGTCTGTCTGTTTTGTTTGGAATCCTACATCATGGCTTGGATTGTCTGAAATGAGTAATTGGTTTTGTTTTCAGACTAGTTGTTACATATAAGATATATAAAAGGGGATTATTCACACATACTGTAAAACTTAGAAACATGTAGGTGCTTAGCAGGGAGTGTATTGACACTACAAACCAGAACAATTTACACTGGAATGAGAAACGGCTCTTTAATCCTATCCTATGCATTTCTCTGAAATACTTCAGCATAGCTCAGTTCAAACTTGAGAGTAGGGAGCCATCCTGTGGGTTTGCCTCATGAAACTAGCACTTCACTGGAGGGAGAGTAGCATGGTCGCAAGGGAAAACATAGATACCGCTCTCCAGCTGTGTAAAGCCAGCTTGAAGAGAAGCAATTCCCATGACTAAGGTAGTAAATTTGGAGTGTTGAGCCTATTTGCACCAGAGTCGGAGGTGCCCTTGAAAGATGCAAACAAAAGAAGCAGGGTCAGAACATCAGCATATTCTGTCGTAAAGCTCCTGTTGCCAGTATTTAAGCTTTAGGATGGCAATTTTGGCATTTTAGAGTAGCAAAAACCTTTACTTCATCAATTGCCCTCAGACAGCTAGTTGTGCAGTAGAACTCCTGTCTGCAGCATGTTTCTCAGCCTGAATCCAGCCCTTTTAGGAGGAAAAAGAAAAGAAAACACAGGTGGTTGTGTTTAGTTGAATAGCACATAAACATCTTCCAGAACTTTTTATTGGAAAGAGGTATACTCTTATTCTAAACATGTAATGTTAAAACTGATCAAAACTTTAGATGATTATTGGCCTATTATCGCCATAACAGGAGCCTCCTCGGCTTCTTTTGCGAAGAGTTTAAGTAGAACCAGGAATCCTGCATTGCAGACCAAGGAAGTAGCCTTAGATGCCCCATAAGAACATAAAGAAAGCCCTGAACATAAAGAGGGCCCTAAAATCACATCTGTATGAAGGCATCTGTAATATGGTTACTGTGGGTATCCAAAATATATATATTTACTTTTTCTGTTTTAAAATATACCTATGTGGATTTGTATGACACGCATACAGCTTTTTAGTAGTTATACATAGGCTAAAACAAAAGTAGAGCAAGCATCAAAATAATTTTCCCTTTGAAGTTGGTGTCTATATGTTACCTATCCATATAGCAAAAGCACTGTAAGGTCCTTAATCCATTGCATTACAGGAGGTGAGTATTTATCCTTCCAGTTTATCCTTTTACTATTGCATTTTAGCTGTTAGAACACAGAGAACCAATTTCCCTTTCCTTATTTTTTATTTTATTTATTATTTATTTATTAAAACATTTTTATGCCGCCCCATTCGCCGAAGCCTCAGGGCGGCTTACAACAAATCCTTATGTTAAGTTCCATGAAGCAACTAATATAAAATAGTGCGTACATGAATATTAAAGACTGCTCCAAAAAAGAAGTAACTATTGAACATTTCCAATACTTCTTTATTTAAAAGAAGTATTAACTGAATTCACTGTAAGCAATTAGCTGAATTAGACTGTGCCTTATTAAAAAGACTTTGGTGGTGTTCAGTATAGCCCATGTGCAGTAGTGCAGTAGTCCATGTGCAGTAGTAAGGGACTAAGGAGATCTGGGTTCTAGTCCTCCCCCAGTCATGGAACTAACTGGATGATTTTGGGCGGTCACAGACTCTCAGTCCAACCTACCTCACAGAGTTGTTGTTATGAGAATAGGAGTAAGAGGGAGAGAATTATGCAAGCCACCTTGAATTTCTTAGAAGGGAAAAAAAAGTGGGATCCAAATATAATAAAAATACATAAATCAAGAGTGCTGAATAAAACACAACCTAAGATCCATAAATTTGACAGGTAGAAGCCAGAGTGGTGACCCATGGATTAGTCAGTTTATGACGGCTTCTCAAATTCCAAAATGTGCTCCCAGGTCCATAAAAATTGGGGACCGCCTGATGGAATCATTCTGTTTTTCCAGTAGCCAACCGAATTTTGATATGAATCCCACAAGGAAAACAACAAGTAACACTTTCCCATTCATGGTCTATTTGGTTTAGCTATATATAAATAATTCAGCAACTTGGCTTTTTTGATGTTGGAAGGAAAGTATATAAATAAAAATATTTCATTATTTTAGTTTTATTGGGTAATGTGGAAAGCAGAGGAATTAAATTTTGCATACAAGCTTGTGGGGAAAATGAAAGCCAACATCAGTACATGTCAAAAGAATCGTAATCCTTATAGTGTCTTGTTCATTCAATCATCCTTAATAGAGTTCATCTCTGTAACATGGCTGGGTAAAAATTATATATTTTTCTTAAGCTGTGCTGCTTCTCAAATGAGTTTCAGTCACATTTGCTGATTTTAATGATCAAAATAATTTCATACTTATCAATCTTGTTAATCCTGCTGAGGCAGCACTACTTAGGAAGAAAGAGGTTGATTCTTGTTCCTCAATGAGATTCTCACATTTTTGAAAAAAGAATCCTACTATGATTGAATAAATATGTTAGGAACTATTAGGGGATGGGAGGGTGGGAGTAATTTATTCAAGGAGAGAATTTTATCCAAAATATAATGGCAATTTTTGGTATGTTGGTTAGGTATATGTTGATTTGAAAATAGAAAAGTAACACTTTGCATGCCTAGATTTTTTAAAATATACCTAAAGTACCAACACTCTGGGATTAAGCTTTGTTTCCAAAATTAATGGAGGAATGGAATAGCAACACTAAGGTATTGTATTCAGTACTGGTGACTGTTTCTTGATGGTAATCACTTCTGTTTGCTCAAGACTAGGCATCTTAGTTTTGGCAGTTGCCTCTTAGCCATTTAAATATCTCTCCAGAAAGCTGCTCCAAAATAAAATGGAAATAGTGTGGAGGCTGTGGTAGCAGGAGGGATTGGTGAGAATTAGATGCTTCTGTGCACCTGAATGGAAGTGCTTTCTGCTAAGCCACAGCCACTATTAATCTTTATGCTTAAGCATGACATGGGTTCGTTTAGGGATTCAAATGTCCCAGCTAAACGAAATAATATTCCTAACAGTATTGACTGTAATAATGTCATCTTTTTTATTTCTAGGAGCCGTGATTGTATCCACTCCTCAAGATATAGCTTTATTGGATGCACATAAAGGGGCTGAGATGTTCAGAAAAGTGAATGTACCAGTAAGCTCTTACAAGTATATATTTGACCCTTTTAAGTAACGGATATATTTTAAAGTGAGGAGTGGTAACATAGAACGAGAAGGTTCCTGAAGAAATTTTTAGCTGGACCCTGGCAGGCCTGTCAAATTGTAATTAAGGTACAATAATATATTTGCCTTGAATATTATATTAAAGATATTATATTAATATTATATTAAAGTGGTCCTCACACTTTTCATGCAGAGGATCTAGGTTCTCTCTATGACATCCCCAAGTAGGGCTCAGAAAACCTAGAGAGCTGATAATGGTCAGCATAGGTCATGCTGAGTTAAATGTACCAGTGTCCTGACTTGGTAGAAGGCACCATACTGTGCTTAATGAATGTTTGCTCTTAAGGAAAGTAAACACCCCACAAGATTAAAATTCTATTGGAAGTTGTCTGTAGTGTCTTGACAGTGAGGAAGTTTTTCCTGGTATCTATCCTGAATCTGATACACTGCAGTTCACTGTTCTGTCCTACACTCAGGGAAGAGCGATAAGAGGTTTCACTAGAATATATTAATCACTCTATATTAGAATATATATTGTGTAGAAAATATTAATCACTATATATTAATACATAATTTTTGTAATTTGAAATACACTGAAGTGTAAATTAACCCAAAATATGTCCGTTACAGAGCTCCACCTACTCATCACATATGCAGCTTCACTTAGTTCACTTTTTTTGTTGTGAGCCGCCCCGAGGCTTTGTTGCGATGGGGGCGGCATAGAAATGTTTTAAATAAATAAATAAATAAATAAATAGTTCAGCATTATTGAGACTCTCGAGTACATCTATTTTCTATGTACAACATTTAACATGTAGCTGAATTTATTTAGAGATAGAATTGTCATATCCTGTCTACTTTGGTCCCTAGTTCAGTTGTTCTAGTAGTAGAGAAGGATGAAGGCTGATGAAACTGTCCCCACCCCACAGTACCTGCTGCTTAGATGTTGCACATGAAAACTAAGGGAGATGGCAATTTATGCTGACTTTGAGAGCTTTTAGAAGAATTTCCCAGACAGAGCACCTAGGACCTAACTAGTCTAATTCACAGCATATGTTATGTAAGCAAGGCTGGGAGTAGAATTCTAGAAGAAATCCCAAAAACTGAGTCTGAAGAAATGTCCCAAAGAGACCCTGCTCCAGATATGAAACTGGGCAGTGAAGATACACCAGATTTGTTAAAAGATTTGAATTGACAGCAGATATATTAGACTGAACTAGGGTGCAGTACAAAAGACAGAATATATAACTTACAGGGCTGGCTCTACCATTAGGTTAGAGTAAGATGGATGCATACAGTGTCATGAATGGGCAGCAAATCATTACTTAATTTGCTATGATTGTATTTTTTCTGCCAGGAAGCGTGAGAGTTGTTTGTTCAGTTTTCTGCCTTGGGTGCCAAAATTACATGGCTGGCATTGGGTACTGCTCACCTTGACTTGAAATGGATGCGGTTGTGCCAGGTAGAAAATGTTTTGGGCTAGGGCTGGTAACCTAGGAAGAGATTGAAAAGAAGGAATAGTTCTGTTGCATTTCCTATTTAACTGTTTGAATTGTATGACTCAGAATACTTGAGCAATGCGGTGGGAAAATTATACCAGTTGTTTAAAGAAAATGTAAATGGTAAATGAGCCCAAAAAATTAACAACAAGCAAGCAAGCCATGGCATGTTGATGGCCTTATGGAGAAGAAAGCCAGCTGTGAGTTAGATGAGCTTATTTTTAAAAAGTTAAGGGGAGTACCCAGCAACAAACAACTTCTTCTAAGACAAAATTATTTATACGTTACCAGTAGTATATATGGCACTTTACAGTGTTCTATAAGCAAAAATTAGGCTCCTACCCCCAAGAATCTTTCAGTCTTAAGGAGACATTCAAGAAGACACCAAAGATAGATGGAGAAAAGGTATTTATTGGGGACAGCTCTAATTTTTTCAACTGCAACTAGGCTTGACTCAGTCTTCCTCAAAAATTTTTCTTCAAGGAATCGGTGATCTGAAGCATAACAAATAGTTGCAGGTGATAACTTATGCTGGCAGAACCGGTAATGGTTAAGCATGGTGTGATGCTCAAAGAAGTATGAAAAAAGAAAATACATGAAACAAAGGAGGTGTTTGATTTTTCTACACTGTGCTGTACTTGTACCACTGCTATTTAATCAAGAAACTGCTTATTCAAAACCCATAAAAGTCTGTTTATCTTTTGCAGTAATTTTGTTCTACCAGATTCTGGTATCTGGGGCAGAATGTTCTTGAGAACAAAACAAAAGCTTTGTTATAAAATAGCAAAGACCGGAAGTTAATAGGACCTCTCTGGTATACTTAGTGTAGCAAGTCAGTTACAGAGATCTGGATGGTGCTGGCTTGGTTTCTTCTCTCCATTTCATATAAAAACGAACTTCTCCAGATAGAAATAAGCAACTGAAAAACAGGGCTGAGCTGAATGTGTGTGTACTCTTATAAGTATCTCTTTCCCTGCCCCCCTTTCAGTGCTTGCTGTGAAAGGGCTCAAGCACATTTACCTATTCAAGAAATGATGACTTAAGGGTTTGCTGTTTTGTACTTGGTGATGTTGTCATATAGCCCAGTGTAGCCACGTAGCATCACAATATCATCCCATTTGCCATGTCACTATTTCCTGGAAGGAGATGACCCAAATTATAATGTAGCAGTGGCAGAAGATTCAGCATATAATACAATGAACAGGATTGTAGAGGAGGGACAATAGCATGCATGCACTTGTGGCTGCCTGAGAGCCATTACCATTAACATAAAAATCACAGCAGGAGAAGATTTGCATGCGGCCCTAATGGCAAAGTGTAGCTAAGTGGTATTCTTTGCCTAAGTTTACCTAAAAGAAATCATTTCTCTTTATCAGATGTATCATTAAGCTTCATTAAGAATAATATCAATCATCCCCCTAAAGAGGGCTCTTGAAGAAATGGTGTCTATTCAGCCATGGCAACTGTTGTGCTGGCTAAACTGCAGCAAAGCATTCAGTTGTCTTCTCCTGAAAGCTAGAGCTCAGACAGATGAGACTAGCAAGCAGTGCTTTGCTATAGCTTGAACATTAATGCCAAGTATTCCCTGGACCTGTTGATGGTCAAGTGTCAGTATATGACATAAGATGATTAATATTCATTCTCAGGATCTGAAATTGGACAGCATGGACTAAAATAAGCCTCTAGATGACTTAAAACTATATGCAAAGATAATCACTCAAGTGTATGATCCAAAATAGTTGAAAAATCACTCTTATTTGAAGTGGATCTCATGTTGAAATCTCACCAACTGACTGATAACTGAAAGGCCTGGCTAACAAGTACCCTTGAAACACAAATTATTTTGGGTTATTTTTTTTCAACCTCTTCTATCGATACTCAAAACATACCACAGCAACATTCTAAAAATGAAACATTAAAAATCACATAACATAAAAATATAGCAGCAATCGACTCTAGTCAGAACCCCTCCAACTTACAAAAGACTTCCTAAAGCATGTCAGAATTTTGTTCCTCACTGTTTCCTTGGAGGCAACCACCAAGAATGATCTGCATTCTACAGTGACTAACCTGCTTGTCTGCAAAGACAGGCTCTGGGTATTCTATTTGAATACTATCTTAACTGGTAAGTAGGTGCATATGGGCAATGTATATTCTGAGCTAAGAAGGGTTATAATAAAATTCAGAAGGAATAGGGTAGGGATGGGTTATGCTTAGTCAATTCATGCAAAAGTGGCACAGAATGGATTTATGAATGAACACAGTTGAAACCTGTTGTGGGATTGTTTGTTGTTCAATCTGCACAACAAAAGTATTTAAACAAATCTTCTCTTAGACTAGGAAGTTCTTATCCCAAAATATACATTTTATATGTATGTTCTTTTTGCTGAGAAAGGCATCACAAAATCTGGAAAGCGAGAAATACAAGAGATAACAGTATTCTAATCTGTAGATTATTCCAGGAGATTCAGAAATAATAAATTAATCAAACATACTAAGGGAAACAATCATATAGAAATATTTGGCAGCACTTAAGAGGGTGTATAGACAACTGGCACATGCCAGATTAGACCACTGGTCCATCCAGAGGAGAGTTGTCTATACTGACTGGCAGTAGCTCCCCAGGCAGAGGCAGGAGCCTTTCCTAACTCATCTTACAGGAATTGGAGTGTTCTGTCCCTGAGCTTAGGACCCATTCCCATTGTTAAGATCATGGGTCCTCAAACTATGGCCCATGGGACGGATCTGGCCCGCCATGCCCATTTATCTGGCCCGCCTCAAAGGTTTGGGACTCACAACGCCCACCACCGCCCACCTCCCACACTGTGCAGGCGGCGGAGAGGCGGTGGCTTGCTTACTCAGAGATGGTTTTGGACTCGCTGGGAGACCTCCAAGTGAGCAAGCCGCCGCGCATGCCCGACGCCACTTCGTGAATGCCTGATGCCAACTCACCGGCCCATGCCCGTGGGCGCCCCCGCCTCAATGGCCTGTGCCGGTTGCCTCCGCCTTTCAACTGGCCCCCTATTGAAAAAGTTTGAGGACCCCTGGTTAAGATGGAAAACAATTTATTAGTCTTGGAAAAACTGTCAGAATTATTGGTACAGGTACCCTATGTCATTTCATATTTATAGTTGTATTTGATGCATATTGAATATAATCATATGCTTGACCTAAAATAATTGATTTTACATTGGACTATCAGGGTGTATGTTTTGGGACACTCCAAGGAGGAATGTCAGCATTCATTTAACAAATAAGCAGACATAGTCTCCTGCATCTGTACCATGAGACAGTTCCCTAGGAACATTTTAAAACTCACAAAACCAGAAGTTCTCAGACTTTCCCAAAGGTCTTAATCAAGCAACTCTTAAACATATTTGCTGCCCTCTGGTTTTTTTTTTTTTTTTTTTTTTTTGTGGTACTTTCAGTCCCTTATATAATATTCCAGAAGGTTTCTGGTTGTCAGGAGCATGAGCTCAGCAAAGCATAAATAGGAAGAGGCAGGTACATTAGAAAAATAGCTGCATCATTCCTTTTTTCAGAAGAAAAGTAGAATCTCATGATATGCAAACAATGAGAGAAGGTACCAAAAAGTCAAGGCAAATAGTTTCTTGGTGGTAAAATTCTAGGAGTTAAATTCATGCTTCAAAACATGGGTTCCATTAATATGAGCACACACTGCTCAGTGCAATGGACAGGAACAACAAGGAATCCCATTGCAGGGCCAGCTTTTGGTTTGGCTGGAGATTGGACTTCACTGGGCACCAGAGTCTCCCCTTTAATAGGGAAAGGCTGTTAAGATGTCTGCCCCTCTGAGATGCAGACCTATGTACACAAGCCAAGAGATAAGGCATGGGAAAAGTCAGTCAATGGAGTTAAGCACATGTGTCCTCCAATCTCCATGCGAATTAAGAGTAATGTGAATTAAGCACTATCTTCAGTTTTGAGTGAAGAAAAAAGCTAGAGGATTGTGTAATGGAAATCTTTAAAAGTCCTCTGGAGTGTTTGGAGGACAATTCAAGGGTGATTGAGAACTGGATGGGAAGGCGAGAGAAAGGACATTCTACTGTATGTGTGACAAATACACACCATACATAAGAAAGAGTTCCAGCCAGAGGTGTGTTTAACAGTTTTTACTGCAGCCTATTGCCCTGAATGTGAAAACTAGTTTTAAACAGGAAAAGCACCTTGCTTGTTCAGCCATGTAAATGGTTGGAATGAAAACTGTTAAAACACCTCTAATTCTGTGCACACTTCTTTCCAGCCACATATAATCTTTGCATCCCTGAATTCCTTCTCTTGCTAGTGTTAGTTTTCCACCATTAATAAATATGTTAAGATGTTATTAGCCCAAGTTTATAGTGTGCACCCAAGTAAAGAAGAATTATTGACGTGTAGAAAATTGATGAGTTGGAAACATGGTGCTGGAGAAATGCTTTACAATACTTGGACTAACAGTAATATGAACAAGTGGATCCTAGATCAAATCAAGCCAGAACTTGCCCTGGAGGCAAAAATAAGGAAGCTGAGACTGAAGGCACATCATGAGAAGACAAGATTCACTGGAGAAGACAATCATGCTAGGGAGGTTGAAAACAAAATAAGAGGAAGACTAAATATGAAATCACTTGATTCCATAAAGGAAGCCACAGCCTTGAGTTTACCAGGGCTAAGCAGGGCTGCCAAGGACAGGACATTTTAGATGGCATTCATTATAAGTTGGACATAGCCTGATAGTGTTTAACAAATGTTATATGTGAGAGAAGAAGAGATATTGTTGCCATACAGTGCATTGGTGCAGAGGGGGAGAAAAGCCTGTGAAAAGCAGTAATGATGCTTAGCAGCTTTGAACAGTATTCTGACAAGCTCATTTTCTCTCCACTTAAAGCCTGTGCCAGAATTTGCAGACCTGTCCACCGGTCTTTATGCTGGCCTTGTACAACTTCAAGCCCTCCAATATGTTGTGGACTTCAGCTCCCATAAACCCAGTGGTCTTTATTATGGTCAATGGTTTGGAAAGTTTGGTAGTTGTAGCCCAAAATATCTGGATGCCACCAAGCTGAGGAAAATTTGGAAGGTTGGGTCAATGTTATTTCAGTATTGTAAATGTGGAAGCTGAAGTTAAGGAAGGAGTGGTTTGTCTGAGACACCTAGAAAGTTTGGTACAAGTGGCATTTCCACTAGATTTGCTTCTGAGGACTGAAGAGACTGAAGTGTGGATGAAACAAATAAATATGACTTAATACTGCAAAAAGGCTGTTATCCTAGGCTTCAGCTCCCCCATCTGCAATACTGAGGTAGTACTGACCTTCCTTTTAGGTGGTGTAAGTCAGACTGCCCCAATTTTATGTCCTCCAGAAGTTTTGGACTACAGCCCAGATCTACTTCCCTCCATTCATCTGCTGATGGAAAGCATTATTTCCTAACATCATTAAAATGGGGACTCCTCAGCCTGAAATCTTAGGTGCAGTGCTGCACTGTATTGTGGGTAACGGATTGCAAAAGGCAACGTTGCAGAAGATACAAGTGCTTATGCCTGTGCATCCTTGGATTGTCTCGTAAGAAATTTTCCTGAATGTTGGCCTCAATAACTGTGATGAATGGGGAATGTTACGTCAACACAGAACTGAAATAGCGTCCACAATGAACTGTCTTCAGCTTAGTAGATACCCATTAATCAGATCTGATGGAGCCACTATTGCCTTATGTACATGGGAAAAATCTGAGCTCATATTCGAATTTGGCAAGTGCAGCACATACAAGGAATGTGCACTGTAAGCTGCACTCAGAAGTATGTGAGACTATGGCTATTTAACGTTTTGAGCAAATAGGCTTAATATGAAGAGTTGTGAAGACAGAGAGAACTGTTTCAAATGTTTTTTCTAAGCTAGGGGAATAAGAAAGGGAGCCATAGTATGAGTAAAGAATAAAGCATAATTAGTTTTTTTCTTCTTCCTCATTAAGAGGAAGAATCAATGTTATGTGCAATGTAGCTAACATTCCTGACAGGGTCTCAAAGTTACCTCGGTCTATTTAGCAATTAAGAGGGTACAGTTAATATGAGCATTAGATTTTCCTTCAATAGTTTCGTCATTTGTGCTTTATGTATTTTTTTTCTGTTGTTTGATCTTTAAATGTGTCTTTCTTCTTCAGAGAGAATACAAAATGTGTCTCATCCCTGCCTGGCCTGTAAATAGCCAGTGAAACATTTCTAAGGGCGAAGTTGGTGTTGTGGGCCATGCTTTTCTAAAGATTTTCTTCGGCTTTGGCATGACTTGGTTACTGATAAAGAATTCTAATTGAATGGGTAGCCACGGTAACAAGTCATCTCACTGATTTAGCATATATATTTGAGAGATTAAGCCTCATTGGACACAGTGGGAATTGCTTCAGAGTAAAATGTATATAGGATTGCACTGTTTTAGATGGTCAGCTCACACCTCCATGTAGAAGGAGAAGAGCTTGTGAAACTTGTTTGTTCATAGTTAGAAGTGCACACTGAACATCTTGGAAAGTTGGCAGATGTGAATTTGAGAGAAAGTAATTCAAACATCTTGGTGCTTGAGACTCTGGATTGCTGCTGTTATTTCCAGATGTGAAGTGCACTGGGCTATCTGAAAGACTGACTATGTGAGCCTGGCTCAGGTTGTTTTTTTTTTTTTTTTTTTTTTGGAAGGCTCTTGTACTACAGCTCATGGTACTGTGGATACCAAAGGCACAATGTTAGGTGAAGATGTGGAAACAGGCCTTCACAGTAGCTCCTCCTAGGCTCTCTCTACTAAGGGAGCCTATGTTGATTTCTTTGCCAGTGCAATTTAGCACCAGTTCCTTTTTTCTGTGCAATGGGTTTATTTCTGAGTTTATTTCTTTAAAAAAATAAAGGAAACAGCCACTTTACTTAGTTTTATTTAGTATTTTTTGTTATTATTTACCAGGTTTTAGGGCTTGTTCAAAACATGAGTGTTTTCCAGTGCCCAAAATGCAAACATGAAACTCATATATTTGGAGCTGATGGAGTGCGGAACCTAGCCAGCAATCTCGGTCTGGATGTTTTAGGTAAGAATATGTAAATTTTTGAATAAGTATTAGAAATAATAATAGAAGAAAGTTGGATGCAATCTTGAATTATTTGGTTGCTGTTTATTGAAATACATGCAAAGGAAGCTCTTAAGTCTAGACAAACCTGTATTGTGCCCCCAACCACCCAGCAACACCCCATCCCCTAACTTAGACATCATGCAAGTGACATCCAGAGAGGCTAATGAGAGAAATAAGCCACCATGGTGTTCCCGGAGACCTGCTGAATATGTTCATGGTTACCCTGCTGAATGGAAGGCAAATTTGGCCTTTATCCTTCACATCTCCTGATTTCAGTTGGACATGTTTGGATGGATTCAAATATGGGTGCTAATATTCTCACCCTCTTATCATTGAAGTTTCATTGGATCTCCTTTTCCTAATGGAAGTATGCTCACAAAGGCTGGCTACAGCCAGTGCAAGCTCTTCTGACATTGGTTGACAAGAGGTCACAAAGGTGCTGTTGTTGCCATATCATTGCTCCTGTGCCCTCTGTTGCCATCAGCTCTGCCATGGGTGATCTCCTGAGGCAATGTTCCCACAATGTCGGCTTATAGGGAAGACCTGCCCCCTGACCAGGACCAGCCAGTTGGGCCAGCACAAATCTTTGTAGGGCCACACTGGCCACTTTTTCCATCTGACACAGCTCTTCAAAGAACCTGCCTGCCCTCTGGCTTATTTTGAGAGGAACCTTGGAAGATGAGTGGCTACTTCAGAGGTCTCTCCTTACCACTGTGCCATTGGGAGAGTGGGGCTGGTGTGCCTCTTTGTAGGACCTGCTGTAGTGCTGCTGGCTGGCTAGAAGCTCTGGAGGCCCCCACCAGCCCTGCTTTCCAGCTGCAACAAATGTCGCAGGTGAGAGCACCTGGTGATCTGCAGCCACACTGGAGCAAACCCTCTGGTGGAGTTGCAGCTGGAGGAGAACTCAAAATGAATCCAACCAAACATGGCTCAGTGGTAGTAAGGGGAGTATGTAACTGCTGCTTTCCCCATCGCAATATCTGAGGTATAGGGGTGACTCCATCTCAGGAAAAGGCTCGTCCCTGACTCAGGCTCGTTCTAGGTTCAGTCCCCAGTATCTCCAAGTAGGGGTGGAGAAGCTTCTGCCTAAATGCTTGGAGAGGTGCTGTCAGTCTGTGTTACCTGTACTGGACTAGGTGAACCCCTGGTCTGACTTAGGATAAGACACCTTCCTGTGCTGTTACTAAGAGTAGTAATTGGGTTTTACTCTGTTCCATTGCCTTCAGAATAAAACTACTGGCTCCTAGGGATTCATAGTAGAGCACATAGCCCTACGGGTCTAAATATCTAAATATATCAGTGTCACTAGTTTTCAAAACCTATATGTAATATAGTGTCTATTTTTTACTTTGTGTATGCATATATGTAGCATCTTCACACCCCTTTGGGGAGAATGCCCCAGAGACAGTTGAGGTGATCTTCCACTACCTGTAAGGAGAGGGTTGCTGGCAAAATGAGATCTTCCAGGTCCCCAGCTGCATGAGGGGCAGGTAGGACTGCCTGGCTAAGTTATCAGTGAGGAGAGCAACATAATTATTGCTTGGAGAAGGAGCATTTGTCCTTCAGTGCTTAGTAACTGCTCATTTCACCATTTTCTAAGTTGAAGCATATAATGCTCCAAGTTGATAATCTAATATAAAAATTACACCTTAATAAAGCTGCAAAATAAGATAATTGTACCTGATAATGATACATATTTTCATGCATTGCTATAATTGCATTGGTTCACCTGGATTATTCATTAAGAAAAGGCAAGTTCAGTTCTCATAAGCTTCATAGAAACATCAGGATGACAGAGACCTAGCCGAGCAAGGAAATCTGTAATTAAAAGTACACAGTTGGGTTAGCTTAGCTGTCTGCTGGAAAAGTAATGAGGATTAGTGCCTGGGACCTTGTTTCAGCCTTGAGTTGTACTGACCATAGGTAGGAAGTCTCTAATGGCAAAGCTTCCCACAATTAGAAATGATTCATTGTTCTTCTAACCTGCAGCAATATACTTGGAATCAAATAATTAGCGAGGCATGACCTGTATCAGGTGGAAAATCAGATTGTTACACCATAAAGTAGTATGGAAAAGTGTAAGCAGCTGATAAAACTCTGCAGGCACTTTTTTGAGTCAGCCAGCCATGAGACAGAAAGAGATTTTGAAACAGGATGTCACTATCTGTTGTGGTTCACAGATTACTGTTCCTTTTCACTTGGAGCTAGAGCTCCTTCTTTCAGTTACTTTACAACAGAATTCATGTAAGAATCAGATACATGATGCAAAGTATCCACTGGGGGTCAAGAAAAGGTTGAATTGCTGCAGGATCTAGGTGTGTCTTGACAGCTTGGATGGAACTGATATATCTTGAGCACACTTTCCTTGTAGCAAAGGTCCAAGTTGCTGCTGCCGGGCTTTGTAGCATTGTAGCCTGAATCTTCTGTGGTGGTGTCAGCAATACTTTGTGCCACCACAACAATTGTGGGATATTTATTTATGGCATTTTTAATTTGCCCAATAACAAGCATGTTCTGAGTGGATTTTAAACAGTTCAAAGACTAAAATAGGATATAAAGTGACAAACAGCATAGGAAGTGTGTGCTTGCGCATGTGCACAGCCCCCAGAATTCCAAAATGAAGTCTCTAGAATGTCTGGGAGGAAAGAAAGGTCTTTGTTACCAAAAGGATGGCCGTGTAGGCCTCTTTGGGAAGTGCATACTTAACAATGCCACCACCGATAAGGGCCTCTCTCTTGTGGTCATAAAATGTATGTGAAATACCATCAGTAGATGGCATATAAAAAGTATGGAAGTGATAGATATCGCTGCTTTAACACAGCAATTTATTTATGGAGAAGACTTGGAGAGCATGGAGGAAATGTCTTGTACTTTCTGGCAACTGAGTGCCTTAAGATGCTTATGTTAATTGTCATCATAGTGTAACATCAAGGTCAGTATTGCTAAGAAGAGGGCCTTTTCTGTAATGGCACCCTGGTTGTGGAATGACCTTCCTGGAGAGAAGATGACCACATCATTTTCTCAGGAATATTAGCTTTTTAGCTCCTGCTGTTTAAATCTGTCACTGTATTTTAAATTTTCACCATGCTGTTTTTATTTTGTACTTTAAACTTCTATATTGTTTTGTATTTTATGGCTATTTTATGGTTTTAATTGCTGTAACAGCTTTTGAGCGATATAAAAATGCATAAATAAATAATCAAATCTTAAAGTTGTTGTCTGTACAACTTAAATAGTGAAGAGAAATACTGATTCCTATCTCTCATATTATGAATATCTTGGGTTTTGTATTCAGCTATTGTAAAATGTTATAATCACAGAAATCTGGAAAGTTGATTTAGCATAAAGACATTTAAAATATAATGAGACTATATCGCTTGTTATGCTTTTTGTTATTTCTGTGGCAATTCCTTGCTGATTAGAAAAGCACAATATACAGTTAACTATTGGGAGGGAAAATTAATTGAATATGTAACTAGCGCATAATTAAATCAGTAGTTCTCTAATAACAATAACACTTCCTTTCATTTTGGCAATTAAATATTTAAGCATGTATTTGAATATTGATTAGAATGTTATGCTACTGGAAATCATTAGGGAATGAACTACATTACTGAAGAAATAATGTAATGCGTGAATAAGTTGTAAGCTGGAATGATTTACTGTAGACTAATTTTTATGTGCATGCAATGCACTGTCTGTGTGCAGCTAAGATTTTGACTCGATTTTTGGCATAGCATGCACCCCAAATTTTATGCTACAGAATGAATTCTTCTACAGTCAGCTTGTTGCTCCATAGTAAAATGAATATTGTTGCATTGAGAAGAAAATAGAACAGCCAATGTTGCATGCAGTTCTGCTACACTTTCTTTTGTAATTCTGCATAGGTTATCTATTAATTTTTCTTTCAATTATTGGGTGATTTTTTTTCAAACAAGGAAAGAGAGATTCTGCTTTTGTAGAGTTTATAGATCTTTAAAAAAGTAGTACTTTAGCTGTGCTTATATTCTAAGTGATTTTCATTTCTGATGCAATTTGCTATATTAAAATAAGATTTCAGGTGACTTCAACACTAATAAAGTCATGTATGTAACACTGAGTCTTCATGTCTATTTGTGTTCTTAATACAGGTGACATTCCATTGCACATTCAGATAAGGGAGACATCAGATGCTGGTAAACCAGTTGTAGTTGCAGAGCCTGAGAGTGATGTGGTGAGTTTAATTTAGTAAAGCTTTTAAAAAAAAAGATTGTGGTGGAAAATGGCAGAGGTAGGATTATGTCTGATTATAAATCTTTCTTTTTGTGCTAACAGAATTTCACCAGGGCTTAGTGCATCTTTTAGAATTATAAAACGTAGGCTTCTTGGCTCTGTATATCTGTTTAATTACTGTTTAGCCATGATTTGAATAAGAGGCAGGTCAGCCAAGAACCTTGTGTATTAAATGGGGAAGGGAAGAAAAATGGATTAAGATTTAACAGATAAACCTTGAAAACTTTTCTCAGTGCTTGTTTGGTAGTTGAAAAGCTGAAAGTGTGCAAGGGAGCACCAAGTCCTATCTAATGTTAAATGGAATACTCAACATGCACATTTTTACTAGGAAAGGGATACACTTCTAAAATGAAAAGCAATTTGTGCAACCCACCTAGCATTTTATGGTCTCAAAGCATTTTAGTGGGACAAAAAGCTTCCATACAAAGATAAGAAATGGATGTACTATTGAAAATTGGCCTGCCTAAGATGAAATCTAAGTTTCTTACAACCTTCATGCCTTTATCTCTTAATCAAATAATTTCCCATGATGAAACAACGGCGACACCCTTTTAAAACATTTTACAATTAACATATTTCTCAAGGAATCAATTTGCTCCCTTGAAAATATGATGCCCATTTGTTTTCTTATTCCAGAAATATTTTCAAATTGATTGTATAATTGCATGGCTTTGGAGTGGAATCTGCTCAGTTTATAATAGGTCAATAGGAATCAATTCCCTGAAATGTTTTTATAGCTTAGAAGGTAAAGATCTGCCTCTGGGGGCATTTGCACAGCTCTTTCTAAAGTTTGACTAGTGTCCAGAAACTGAATGGTGAGGGATTATTGCAAAGGGAAAGAAAATATTCTATAGAATAAGTTTTGACTAACATTATTACTCAATTCGGAACATGTACAAAACCTGATCTTTTTTCCCATTGTTTTCCAAAGGTACTTGTAGTTCACTAAGTTCTCTTTTCACTAAGTACAAGCACTTGTGAGTGTGAAAACTATGGCATGTCCCAAGATTCACTCCTGTATAAGAAATGTTCCCACTAATCCCTCAAGCGGCTGTTCCATAGAAGAAATTTGGAATGAGCTTTTGAGAGAATCTGGTATAAGATTTTGGTGCCCCATAAACCTGTAACACTTCAGAGCAACAGAATTTATGCCTGAGTTCTGAGGAAAATTTGGCCCAAATGGACTTTGTTGGGCACCTGTAGTTTATATCTTGAGTTTATAACTTTCTCAGTTTTGTTCTCTTTGGCCTCCAAATGGTTAGCTGGCAAGTTGTTAATGTGAACCTGTCTACTTTTCCTTTGCTACAGAAAATGTACTCCTTGCTGTGAGGAAAGATGAGCTATAGCAATTCCCATTAGAAACTCCAGTGCAAGAGAAAGGGAAAATATCTGAATTGAGCACATACCATATTAATATGGAAACCATTTTGAATGATAAATGAGAACTGTAAATTTCTCCTTTCCCCATTTAAATTCTCTTGTTTCACTTCAGTCCCTTTTGTGTTGCTTAGTAATGATGGCACAAATGGTTGAATCCAGCTTTTTATGATCAAATAAATGGCCCATTAAAAAGAATACGAGTAGGAGAAAAAGTTCAATATGTTTACATATTCCGTTTATGTAAAGGGAATGTAGGCTAGCTGATCTTTTCTGTCTTTTCATGCCTGTCAATATAGTAGTGATCCACACTTGGCAATCTTGAGGCCAAGCAAAACCCTTTCTTCCACCTATTCCCTTCTCCGTTCTGTCAAAGCCACCACAAGTCAGTTGGCTACAACTCTTTGTTGGATAGAGGCCTGTTTGGGGGAGAGCTGAGCGGAGGAGAACAGCTCACAAGGTCACTACTACTAATATGCTGTATGCTTCTTTACTGTCATGATAGTCTGAGGAAAAACAGGAGGAGTCTGCATTTTTAAAGGAAAGCAGTGCTGTGGTTGGTGTATGATACTTGGCAAGCCATTTGATTAGTTGGCTCACAGCTTATGAAGATGCATTACACAAAGTGGGATGACTGCATTTAGCTCACTTCTCTAACTCTTCTAGTGAGTTATATCCCATCCCATATCCTGCTATTTAAAAAGAAAATAGACCAATTTAAAGCAATTAGGTCATCAACATCTGTTAGCCATAATAACTAATAATGGAACCCCCATATGTTTGGCCACACATGGCCTCAGAACATGGTTTTTAGAAGGGTCTTGCTAGACAGCCACAGCACGGAAGATCAAATTAGATTAACCAGTGATCTGTCTCAATATGCTGTGGCTTCAGGTTATTTGTATGCCATGTACTTTTGGCTATGAGAAGTTTCGGACAAGCAAGAGGCTGCCTTCATTAGGCCTTGCTAGCAAACTCCTTGGGGACATTAGGCTTGCTGCTCTTGAAGGCAATGCACAGCAAGACAAGGGAAATGGTTTTAAATCTATCTTTAGGGCAGCTTTCAAAAGATGTAAGGTATAAGGTTTGTCCTGGATTTCTTGGAACAAGTCATTTGGTTTGTTGTGCAGACTGACTGGTTTCGGTTCAGTTGACTGCTGTACTACACTGGAAGGCATGGTTTCATGATGAATCAAAGTGGCTTTAAAATCTAAAACTGTGATCAGTTTCGTTCAATGACAGCAGCTCTGCAGACCTTTTAGTGTTGAGGAGAGATTATGTGGATGTAATGAGACTGTTCCTTGAGCTATCTTTTAGTTGTTTTTGCAGCACTTCACACAACCTTCTTGGACAAAGGAATTTTGACTCTTTTAGGATAGTAACAGCACATGAGTCCTCTCCAGGCTAAGACCGATTGCATAACTCTGTACTTATAAACTAAAGCACCAATCCCAATTGTGTTCCTAATACCTTAATATACTCTTAAACATTGTTCTGTTCTGGACATATATCATGTGATTGTATAAGTAAGGTCCTTAGTAGTAAGTATTTCTGCACTTTTTTTTTTTTTTTTTGTCTAAGTTTTCTGAACAACACATTTTAAGACACAGAACCATGTTGTACTGGAAACCTCCAGCCAAACATTTTGACAAATTTATCCAAATCAACCAATTTAAGTCCCCTACTCCCGATGCCTCCTTGTCATCTCCAGTATTTGGTACCCAGGCCATAAAATCTAATTTGCTTGTCCTCTTTTCTTGTCAATAGCAACCGGTCTCTCCTATTCTAAGCTCCACTGTGAAGTTTTTTCCTAGCTACATTTGCCTTGGTTCTTACCATGTTCTTTGAGTCTTCTTGGGTTCTTCCTGAAGGCTGCTCACTCATTTACTGATCTGGTTTACACAGATGCCTTATTTTCCCACCTGGCATGCAACAGATGTGCTCTACCAAAGCACCATAACTCAGCTTCTCACATCATCTGAACCCAGCAAGGGGTGCTTTACAAACTACCACAGAACCCCCAGTTTGCAAAATGGTTTTGAATGGTTCGAATGGCACAACAAACCATGACTAGTGAGGATAATTATAATACCATGATGCTGCACTACTGGCAGGCACATACACCATTAGAAATTAAGTCCTGGTGACTTATTTTTCTTCCTGAACCATATAGGCCTTCCCCATGTCTGTTCAGTAACCATTTCATGGTACTTTCCTCTGCCTCTCTTTATCACATGAGATCTTTTTTTTACTCTGCCTGCTTAGAATTCCTAAATCCAGGACCCCTTCTCTGCTGTTGACAAAAAGCTTTTCTGGTATGTACAGCATGGGTCCTCAAACCATGGCCCACGGGCTGGATCCGGCTCGCCATGCACGTGTGCACGTGGCAAGGTGCTGGCTTGCTCACAAGGAGATCGTTTTGGACTCGCTTGGAGAAAAGGAACTCCTTGTGAGCAAGCCGGCCTTGAGGCACCGGCTTGCTCGCAGGGAGATCATTTTGGACTCGTTGGGAGAAAATGATTTCTGCGGAGGCATGGCCCTGGCTTTCTGCACGCGCATGCACGTGCACTCCCCCAGCCCATGCCCCCTACCCGCACTGCCTTGGCGGCCCATGCCCATCGCTGGGACCTTTCAACTGGCCCCCTATTCAAAAAGTTTGAGGACCCCTGATGTAGAGCAACTTACACAGCCTGATATTTTGCTTCATTATTTATCAACATTCTGCTGTTAATACTTTTCTCCATACAAATATAATGTTTTCACGACAACACAGCTCACTCTGCCTTGCTGGTGACAGGACAGTCAGTTTGTAAACTCTTTCACATGTGAATTTATACTGTTTCATTCTGGTTTAACATTTTCTAAACTAACATATGGATTTTTAAAACACTTTTATAGGCTCAAGCCTATTTGAAGATTGCTGCTGAAATAGTGAAGAGACTACCACTTTCTCCAACTGAAAGACAACATTGTGAAGATCTGTGACTGGAAGTTTACCTGCTGTAGTATGGCACAGATATAGCATAAAAAATGATGTTAAATTATGGAATTGAACCTGCCTTGTATTTTATGAATAAAGCAGAAATCATATGTCATGGAAAGCATTACAGTTAAATAATTTATTGTTAGTGCCTAGCTACATCCAGTATAGTAAACTCATTACTATCTTGCTGTACATTTATTGAAATTTTCAAAGGACCTCTGTGTCTTCTAACAGTAAGAAGAACTAAATCTGTGGAATGAGAGCTTCAGTGCATCCTTCAGTAATCCTTTTATTAAATGAAAATGGCTGTCTGCAGGGAGAATTGCCACACGTTTTTATCATTTTATCTAGATTTGTTATTACATGCCATCAAGTAATTTGCCACCCATGACAATCCTATGAATGAGTACACCCACAATGTCTTGTCCTAGTCAGCCTGCTCAGCTCTGGCAAACTCAAGCCTGTGGCTTTCTTTATGGAAACAACCCATCTCATATTTGATCTTCCATCCATCTTCCACATTTATTGTTCCCTAGTCTTACTGTTTACTCCAGTGAGTCATGCCTTATGTGCCCAAAGAAGGACAGGCTCAGTTTTGTCATTTTTACTTCCAGTGCAAATATATTATGTAATGGGGGTATACTGCCAATGGGGGTATATAGAAATGTACCACTCCATTGGCAGAATGAAGGAGGCCATTCCCTATATCACCACAGAATCTGCTCCAAGCAGTTGTGGAACTTCAAAGTGTAGCGGGGAGATACTAGGTGGTAAATGGTATCAGTGAAGAGCTCTCTTTACAACACTTTCTGCCAGAGGCAGGATTCTGAGGAGAATGGTCTTGGCAGAAGAGAAGCTAGATCGAATGTGTTAACAGGTTCTGGCTACATTACACACACTTTAGTCCCACTGAAATTGAATAATTTACTGTTGATTTCAAGTGGGATAAAATTACTGGATCCAGACCATTAGACCTTTAAGATAATTTATTTCCACTGTGAAAAATTATTGTCAAATGGCCAAACAATAAAATGCTAAGAACTGGCTTTGTATTCTTTATGCATTCCTCTCTTTATCAGCTGATCCTTCATCATTAGATAATTCCTTATTGTAATTGTCTAAGCAAGTTGCTTTATTTCCTTTTATCCTATTGAGCCTGAACAAACCCAAAATTCAGCAACAATGTGTTCATTAAAATTATATTTAGCTTAAAGCAAGTTGCTAAGGGAGGAAATAAGTGATAAAAATAATTACTGATGATTGCATATATGAATATATTCCTACTAGAAAGCAATAGCCCTGGATCAATTAAAAAAGTTCCAGTCACCATTTTTTATCTACTACAAAGTGGAAGTGTCTTTCTCATTTTTTACTGAGTTAAGTTTTGCATCTTTGTGTGTGTGTTGACAGAGTTGTCACAGAGGGTGAATAAGGATATATAGCAATGCATCCGGGCCTTGAGCTTACATAAATGTACATGTGTGGTGGTCTTCATAGGATTTTACATCTTTCTAGTTCCTAGCACTTTCCCCCCCAAAATTGTAAGAACTAATGGCATGGTGCATGGACCTGTTTGCATGATTAGTTCAGCTGCACTGGTTTATTAGCCTCAGTAGGTCGCAGTGCCTGCAAATGCCAGGTTGCCAATCCAAGCATTATTGCTGTGACTGCTCATTAAATGCAAACCCAGCAAGGGTAGGTTGCTCCAGTAATTGACAAACCACCTTTAACTCATTATTATTTTAGGATTACAGGTGGCTTGTCAACCATCCCAACAACCTATTCTTACTGGGCTTGCACAGAACAAGAAGCTGCGGTACTTTCCACTACATGTCAAATATTCAAAATAATGCCCACAGCTACAATGAGAGACCTCCACAGGAAAATTAAATCATACTGGCTTCTTGATAGTGTGCAAACTGGGCCATGGACTTTGGTATAAAAGATAAATAAGATGGCATTTTCCTGCACAAGTTTCTCTGGCACAGTTCTTATGATCAGAGTTTAGGTTGAATATTTGCCCCTTTGACTAATTCATTCCTTCACTTGACATACTTTTGTTCATTGCTATATGTCTTTATATGCACCTGTATCAGTGAACTGTAAGCTACTGAGGCTTCTTAGAGTAAATAATGAAAACCATATCATACGATGTCTGTTTTGCATTTTGTGCTCAAGAGCAGAACAACCGAGTTTCCAGTTCTAGTAGCTTGGAACAGGTTTGGCAAGTAATGATTCATTGGCACTTGTACTTAATGCTTATAGCCAATTTTCCTTCCTGCTGGAATCACAAGGAAATCGTCATATGGTTTGCTGCTTTTTAATCAGTGGTGTCCACTTTAAGTGGAATTCTATCATAATATGCATCATTTCAAAATATGAAATACAGTAGAAGAGCTGGGATACATTAGTGCTACATTTGCAGGTAACAAGCCTACCTAAGGCTACAATTCTTTGTAAACTTACTTCTAATTAAGATACACTGAACACAATTGGGCATATTGCTAAGTAGGCAGTTTTAGCTCTCTTAAAATTACTGTGGCATTAGGATTAGGCTACCTCCAAAGTCCTAGTGTGATTCTGTACACATGCAATGGAAAAGTACCAGTGAGGGACTGGTTTTGCGCAGGAAAATGAACAGAAAAGGGTGGTTAAGGAGCTCTTTTCCCCAAACTGGCAGTCTCTAATGGCTGTGTTTCATTTCTGAAGGGAAAATGCCAGATAGTTTTCTGTATCCTACATAATTTCTAGTTTGGTCCTACCATCAAACACTCTCCTAATTTGGTGAAGCAAGGAGTAAAACCCTGGGGACTTTTGCATGAAGATGGAATGATGGTAATAGCTGTTCAAGATGTTGCGAGAATAGTTATGTAAAAGTACCAACCATGCTGTGCAATTAAACTTTTCCTACAAAGTAGGAAGAGTAGTCTTGGGATAATTGTATAGATCATATAATTGTGCTATTAGTGCAATTAAATGTGTATTTATTTCTCTTAGACTGGTTTCTGCAACAGCTTTATTTTTAGCTGGTATTCTATATAAAAAACTACTGATTGGGAAGCAAATTAACCTTGAGTGTTTCTTCACACAAAATAAGTGCCTCAGCCTGTGAGTTCTTAAAAAAACAAAACACATTTTTCCTGATATTTTGATGGATGAATGGTCATGTGTATGGTTGTAATTAGAAGCATAAATTACATTTTAATGGCTAGCAATGAGGCTTTAATAAACTGCTGTCTATACTAATGTGTATCATCAAATTATGTTAAATAATGGAAGTTGGCACACATTTTGCTAGTCATGAAATCTTCACAATTTGTAATTTTTGGCTTATAGATCCTATTTTGCAAGGATTTCAAGGAAATTTTAAGTTTGGCCTTGCAACCTATGCATGGGCCTTTTCTCTGTAAAGTTGGACAGGTTCCGATCCTGGCAAGGTACAATTAGCATTTAAAACCTATAGATTATTTGTGGCATGGGAAGTTATGTATTTGGAAGTTAGTCTTTTCCTTATAATGATTTCTTGCTTGCTGTTTTCAAACTTTGCATGTAAGTGTGTGGCCAAATATTCAGCTTTCTTAGTAGAAGTGAAAAGAACAATATCTAGCAATTAGTAGACATTGTATTTCCTGAACACTATTTCTGAAGGTAATACTAAAATCATGCAAAAGTTTTTAATGCTCTCATTTTAGTGCTTAGCTTTTTTGAGAAGTAATTGGATGAAAGTCAATGGCTTCCTTCTCACAGCAGTTGCATCTAGGTCCCCAAAAGATCTGAAGAATACAAAGACACCTGTAGCTGAAAGAGAAAAAGGGCAATATCTGTGCAGATGGTGTATAAAATGTGCTCACTCCAGGAACTTCATTGCCATGAAATTGCGAAAACCTAGGAAGCATAGGTGGATATGTTCTTTAGAAAGATGGGGTATAAATGTAATAATAGGTTGCATGATCACATTCCATACTGAAAAGCTGATATGGCCAGTTGGATGCATGGAAGTTAATACGATGTGTGCAGTCAAGTATGTGCATGTATGAATTCACTCTTTGGATTTCTTTTATGGATAGACAATTATTTACCTAGAATATACTGTATTTTTGATTCTACTATAGGAATTCTACGTAAGAAACTTTGGAAGAATGGGACACGTCCTACATCAGCATGGGAATCTTAAACCCCCTCTCCATATATTCCTACCCCAGAAAAATTAGCATATTTTTCTTAAACTTGGAATAGCACTCTTGGGGCTTAAAAAGACCTTGGAGCAGCTGACCCATTTCTTAAGTAGGGAAAATCCTGGGTAAAGAGATAGGTCTTTAATTAGCATCTGAAACATCCCATAGTAGGTAGCTCCCAAAAAAGTGATGCGTTATTTCATCAGAGGTGTGCCCACAAGAAATCAATCTCTAGGTTGTGTTACAACCAGTAAAGATCTCCAATGATTTTAGTGATTATACAGGTCAATACTGGGAGAGGACTGAATGCAAAAAGAGTTACAATATTTTCCTGTTTATCTGTTTCCCTTGTCCCTCATTATCCCTTTCATCTGTTTTAGATTTGGAAGCAGAGATGGTCAGTTGTCTCATATTGCTCTGTATCTTTGCCAAAACTCTCAAAACAGCTTGTGTTCTCTGCAAGATCTATGGACATAGAACCTTATTTTATGAACTGCTATATCTTTAGCCAAGTGGGAAGCAGGCAGTAACAAGATAGAAATATCACAGATGTGGTGCATTCATAACGTTGACTTGTTTTGTCTTCATTTTATGCATTGTGGGTTAGAACTTAGCTAAATTTAATATAGCCAAACAACTTTTTGTTTTTGTCATGGTTATATGTTCAGTAGTGGTTTTCTTTTTAGTTAGAAGTACAGGTTCCCATTGCTAAAGTACATGATTATATCTGTTTATAATCTGGAATTGCACATTCCCTTCTGTGAATATAGATAAATCACTTCTCTTTTGGACCATGGATTTCTTTGGGCAAGCTTTTTAGGAAAACATCTGCTGTTCTTTTTATTATGCTTTGGAAGTGATATGAAAATTATTTTGACTTTAGTTCCAAAATTTTGGTACTACTTATTTCCTATAGTTCAGAGATTTGTTTCACATTCCTGCAGGGAAAATGAAATAAAAATAATTTTATTTTGGGGAGTGGTCTTCGTGAAGGATTTTATTTTTAATGTGAAATACATATTTTAATACAAATATTTTCTAAGGGATATAAAGTGACTATTTCAGTGTATGAGCACTTTCTGATTAGGCTAATGTTGGGTGTCATTCGGAAGACTAAATGCTTGGAGAACACATTGTGTTCTATCCACATCAATTAGTAACATTTCTTTTCATAGAACTTGCCATATGCAAATATATTTAGATCCAGCTCCACAAAAATTGGCCTTAAATGCTCAAATAGTGCGCATTTTGAATGATTGCCTTTGGCAATCCTAATCATGCTTGCTATGGAGTAAGCCTCATAGACACATTGGAAATTACTTCTATGGGCGCATAGAAGTATGTAGCAGTGGCCTTAGATCCTGAAAACCCAAAGGTGCAAATTATGTGAGGTTAGTAGAGGAGCATATTTTTTCTGGCATTACATTGTGTAAGTTATATGTCCCTGGCCCCTGCATGTAATTTCCACAGACTGGAAACCTGTAGAATAGCCAAGGGATTCTGTGAAATGTAGTCCATGTTAAAGCATATTATCCCAGAGAACTTTCTCTTCTTCCTCTTTGGCTGAATTCTGTACAGGAGTAATCTGGTTGCTTCTTTAGCATCCGGTGGATTCTGGGCAACTACATTTTGCTCATGGCATGTTAACAGGTAAAATGCATGTCCTCTGAGGCTATTGGGAGGTATAGGAATGGTAGATAGTTTTATTTATAGGCAGGCAGGCAGGCATACCCATATACATAGGAGGAAATGTAAATACTGTGACAAAATGGCTGTGAGGCTCAAGAGGCAGGGGTGCGATAATCTGGTGTAAAGTTTACATGTATCTAAGTTCACAATGACCAACATGAACCATCAGATTGATCCTTGAATGTGACCTTTGGTTGATAACAAAGGCCCTGTGGAACCTTTGTTTTCCTGTGTGGAATGGGCTTCTTGGAAGGTTTATGAGAAACCATTTGGTCTAAGTGAGTATACCTACAAGTTGGCAGCAGACGAGCATTGTCCTAGCTTATGGTGGCTGTCTGGTACCACAAATGTGTAGACTAAAAGAAATCCTGATGTGTGGCTTTAAGTAATTAATGGGCAGATTGTGCAAAAGCAGATAAATGTAACTGCCAGACTTTGTACTTCCAGACAGGGCTCCTTGTGCATCTTTAATGGATATTTTTTTGTGGAAAGGGAAAATATGGGAGGATTACAAGTGGAGAGTGGCCTTCTCTGATCCTCTGTAAACTCTCATGAATGAGGCAGGGCAAATGCATCATAAAAAGCCTCATCTGGAAACACTTTATGAACATTGCCTTGATTCTAGAAATCCAAGTAATTCATAATGGAAGGAACAGATCGCCCACATATTAAGCCATCTCGCCATATTTTGTAAAAGTTATGTTAAACAGAGGTACGCAGAAGCTCATGTATGCATCCAAGCCTTCTTTATATAACTTCAGCAATGGTCAAAGAGGGCAACTTGTGGCTCCCCAGATGTTTCATTGCACCTTCCCATCAACGCTAATCAACATCGCCAATGGGGAGGGATGAGCCACCCCGAGGCTTCAGCGAATGGGGCGGCATAGAAGTTTTCTAAATAAATAAATGATGAGAGCTATATATCAACAGCACCTAGAGTGCCACAAGTTGCCCACCCTGCCTTAGGTGCTTTCACAATCTCTTATGTGACTTCAAGTGGCTTTTCAGGATTGAGACTGCTGTTATCAACTCACCAAATACAAGAAAGTTGCTTAAATTCTTCACAGTGTTCAAGTTGATTCTGTGAGATCCTGCTTCATTCTGTACTAAATGACCTAAATATGCCTAGCCAGTGGCTGGCCCAAAGTCACCCAGTGAGCTTCATGGCTTAGTGGGGACTAGAATCCAGATCCCACAATTCCCAGTCCAACATTCTTACCACTCCACCACACTGGCTTTCATGTTTGCCATCTGCCCAGAGGGCATTGATTATTGGCCAG